AACTGTTTCCTTGCTATCCCAGATACTCAGTCCGTGCCCTGGTCTCTCCCACTGCCCCTCGGAAGTGTTAACAGCGGCTATTTCCAATACTTCCATCACAGCGTGGGAGGTTTCCGTGGGCCCTGAGGATTCCCTCCAGCCCTGCGAGTCCGCCCACCAACCCTGCCTGCGCCTGTGCCTGCGCGGGAAGCCGCTGGCCTGGCTTCCGTCGGAGAAATTCACGCGAATGGACAGACACCGCGTGCTCATCTGTGTCCTGCTCCCTTCACCAACATGCTAACGCTCTTGAGATTCAGCCACAATGTCCCGTATACCCACACTCCATTCGTTCTTGCTCCTTTGCAGAATTTCACCGGGTGAGTGTAACAGTTTACCCTGTAACTAGCCTGGGAGGAAGCATCCAATTGATGGTTAAGGGGATTGTCCCTAAGGATTGTCCCTAAGGATTTTGTTAAAGTAAAAATTAATTACTAGAGGGTACAAACTTTTCTGAAGTAATTACAATATCGAGCATTATTATTTTGTTCTTAAGCAACTGAAATATCTAACCCTAAACTCCTAGCTCTTCCCCTTTATTTTGTGAGAACCAGATACTGAACAGTTGTTTGGGAAACCCCGTTCCCAGAAGAGCTTCATAAAGCGACACCCTCTCCTTAAGGAAGGGCGGTTCACAGCCGCTCTCGGGGGGTACCCTGAGCTCAGGCCCTGACGGGCCAGGAACTGTGAAGACAGCAGAATCGGATGTGTCAAACTGTCAGCTCCTCAACCACGTGGCCGTGGAGAGAATGAGCTTCTGTATTTGACTGTCAGTTACCCATATCTAGTTCAACTGCACACCGTCATTTATACCTAAAGGTTACGACATCCTCGAATAGACTTGTATCCTTCCGTGCCAGCTGCCCTTTGAAGCCTCTGCTTGCTGTCTTCTGAGTGTCTCTTCACGCTCTCAGAGCTCTGTGCCGTCCTTTGCCCGTGGCTATGCCACTGCCCCCCACTTGAAGTGACACTATTCTTGGACAAGGATCAAAATGCACTCGACGTCCTCTCGCACCTTATTTCACTTTTGTCTTTCCCACTTTCTACCAGAGTGACCTCACCCCAGGAGTGTCCCTGTGGGTTTTTGGGTCGTCTTTGAAGATGGCTTGTTTTTAAACCCCATCTATTCCTGCCCCCACCGGGGATGTCAGCCACTGGATGTCAGCCATTCTCAGCCTGGCTGGCATAGCTCAGTGGATGGAGCGCGGGCTGCGAACCAGAGTGTCGCAGGTTCGATTCCCACCCAGGGCACATGCCAGGGTTGCAGGCCACAGCCCCCAGCAACCGCACATTCATGTTTCTCTCTGTCTCTTTCTTCCTCCCTTCCCTCTCTAAAAATAAATAAATAAATCTTAAAAAAAAAAAAACAACATTCTCAGAAGGGCTGAAGTTTGATTCGTTACACACGTAGCCAAGGAATCCAACCTGTGGCTTTTCAATGTTCTTTGGCATTACAACGTACTTTTAAAATTCTGCTAATTCTACAGAATAAGAATTTATATATTCTTTAAATAAATTGATAAAGGGAAACTCTGATACATTAACTGTTGAAAAAGACAATGACCCAAAAAGATGACTGTCGAGAAGATGAGATGTTCAAACAGGTGAGGAAACCTGTTCTACCTTACTAGTAGTTTTAAAATTTGTTGAGATAAGATTCCATTTTTGGCTCATCAAAGCAGCGGGACACTGAACGGGTGCGTGCACAGGGCCTCCAGCAAGGCAGGCATTCGTTCTCGAGCATGGAACTGAATGGACACATTGCTCCAACCCTCTCGAAAAGCAAGCAATTGGATGGTATGAAGCAAATAAACATTCTTTGGTCCAGCAGCTGGGTTTGGGGAGACACAAACGAAGATCCGGTGTACCACAACAAGGACTCTACTCAATATGCTCATCACACCATTATCTGCAATGCTGAGATACAGGGGGCAAACTCAGATGTTCTAGGACAGGGAAATAGGGTTCTTAAAGTGTTACTTACCAAATGTGGATGTGAAAATACTTGTTATAATGCTAATAAAATGGCGTGCGCTTGTATGCAAGGACATGGAGTGTTTCTGCTATAAAATAAAGAATACGTAGACAAAAATATTTGTTGTGTGTGCTCAGGTGACTTTTTCTTCTTTCGGCATTTGTATATTTTCCAAATATTCAATAATGAAAATATATATTAGCTTCTTACATTAAAAAAAGCATTTCCAAATTTCGTTTCTGTTTTTCAGTGCCACATTTAGCCCCAGTTTCTTTATTTTCTAAACAGAGTTGTAGACACCCCGACCTTTTCTCCAGGCTAGGTCTGGTGAGGGGGACGGGGGGCTGATGGATGGAGCAGGTCTTCCCTGGCAGGGCACAGCTGGGCTGATGCCTTCCAGGCTGGCTCTGAGGGGGGTCCATCCAGCCTGCAAAGCTCACCTCCTGTTCCTCCCCAGTGAAGAGTTGGCGGGGAAGCTGAGGCTGGAAGCATCTGGCACCTTTGGGGACGGATGGCAGAGCGGAGCGGGGTGGCCAGAGCACAGGGAGCGAGAGGATTGACAGGCCTGAGGTCTCCAAGGCCTCCTACGGCCTCGCAGGTCCTGGGAGGAGTGTGGGTTCTTTTCTGGAAGTCATTAGCAGCCTCTGAAGGGCAGAGTGTCAGCCGGGAAGTCGCAGGATCTGGAGCTAATTTTCGGCAGCTCACGCTGACTATGGCGATCGCCCTCCAGAGGGTCCCGAGTTGGGGTCCCAGAGGTCAGCGGAGTTGTGTCTCACCATCTTCAGAGTAAGGACTTAGGGAGTGGGGACAGAATGGAGTCAGGGAAGAGGCCAGTCCCACATGTGCTCTGGGGGAAAGGCCAAGGACACCAAGTGGGGACAGAGGCTGTGAGGTCAGGGAGGGGCCACCCCACAGATCACTGAGTCCCCCTGCCCCCCCCAGCCGTGGAAGGGTGGAGGAGAAGTCCAGCTTCTCACCAGGGTGAAAGGCCATTGGGACCCTGCTCAGGGAGCCCAGAAGGAAGGGCAGGCGAGGCCCACAGGGGCTTGGGGCCCCAGGAAGCGAATCCAGCTTTGGGGCTGGTGGTTGAAACCAGCAGTGGCTCTGCTGCCTGTCAGCGCCTGGGCGTAGGGGGCTGGAGCTGACAGCTCCCTGACTACTCAGGTCTCAGGGTCTCAGTGAGGCGGCTGACCTACCTCCAGGAGGGAGGGGCGCAGGGGATCCATTTCAAAAGACACCAGCCCCACCTCGGGCCGCCCTTGCCATCCCCCCGCCCGCCCCCACTCTAAGGGCCTGGCCTCCCGATTGGAAGGCTGGCTGGAGGCGGGGGCGATACCAGGGGCTGCCGGGATCAGCGCGGCACCCCTTCCCACAGCCCCCCCCCCCCACCCGCCAGCGTCTCGGGGACGGTGTTCTCGAGATCGCGTGGCCGGGAGTCCAGCTGTAATTGGGCTGCCCGAGGAAGGAGGGTCGGGGAGCCGTCCCTGGTAACAAGCAGTAATTAGAGCAACAAAAGTAGCAGTTTGCCGGTTGATCGGGACCTCTCTCCCGGAAAGCAGGAGGGCGTGGAAACTAATCCCTGGAAAAAGGCTGACAGCACCCAGGCGTTCGGAGGAGCGCCGCCAGCCTCAGCACAGACCATCAGAGTGGGGAGCCCTGTAGGTTCTCCTTGGTCCCTGGGAGTGTTTCCGAGCCCCTGCGGGCAGCCCGCCCCCAGCCGCCACTCAGGAGGGAAGGCTCGGACTTTTTGGTCTCAGGGCCCCCCTTAACACCGTCTCAAAAGTCACTGAGGACCCCTAAGAGTCTCCTTTATGTAGGTTATTAACTGAATAACTTTAAACACGTTCTGTGTCCGCTTTAAAGCAGCGATGAACTCATTTCATGTGAACTTAAAAACAGGTGTCTTTTTTTTTTTAATTAGCAACGAGCGGCATTACGTTCTATTTGTGTAATTCTCCGCAATTCCGGATTTAGTAAAAAGCAGCTGGATTCGCACTGCTCCTTCTGCGTTTGGGAAGCCCCTTACTGCACTCGTGGGGGAATGAGCAAAGGGGGCAAAGGACGTCCGGGGTCTTACGAACGTGGCTTTCAGCTCAGGCGCCCCCTGGAGGATCTCAGGCACCCTCGCGTGTCCGCAGACCACGGGTGAGAATCGTGGCCAGGGAGAGCAAAGCCCCCAGGGGCGTGGGGGGAGCGGGAGGGACGACTCACGGGACCCCACGCGGACCCACTGAAGCCCCCCTCCCCCACCAGGCAGGCGGCTCCAGGGGGGCTCCTGTGGTTTTCTAGAGTACGTGCATTTTGTCGAGCACGAAGTGTTCACTTTGGAGAACTTTCTCTAACCGGGACCCATCGGAAACCGGTCCCCGTGGCAGTGGCAGAGGTAGGTAGACCACGGCTCGCTCGCTTCTAAAGCCCCAAACGCTGCTGCCTGAAAAACAAAAGTGAAAGGGATGTGTTCCATACAAACAAAGCTTCCTGGTTCCTTAGGCAGAGAGCCCACGTATAGAACATTGTGTCTATTATGGCCTTCTTCTGTGTTTGGGGGAGAAAATAATAACACGTGTAGCTGGGAAAAGACACAACAATTGCTTACAATAATTGGTTATCTTGGGGGAGATACAGGAACTCTGAAAATGTTTCCACCTTCCAGCAATGAGGGACACGTCGTGCACAACTGTCCCTTGTACCACGGCACTTGGTCCTTGACGAAGAGGCGGCAAGAGGGGTTCCCGCCCGTTCGGTGCGGTCCGGGGTGGGGACCCAGAGCCCGCGTCTTTCGCGAGTGCACCTGGAGCCCGCCCCGCCCGCCGAGCCCGCCCGGACTGCCGCTCTCGTCCCGCCCCCGCCTTCCCATTGGTTGAACGCCGCGCCGTCGCGTCCAATCGCAGCGCTTTGCGCCAAATTTGAATCGCTGTTTTCTTTTGAATCGGGAGAAAGCGGCGGGCGGCGTTCTGCGCCTGCGCAGCGCAGCGCAGGGACAGAGCTGGGTGGACCACCCGGTCAGTGGGGAGGGCGACGGCGGGGGGAGCGGGGCCTGCGGCGGCGGCGGCGGCGGCGGCGGCGGCGGCGGCGGTGGACACGGGCCTGCGGGCTGCGTGCCCGACCCGGGAGCGCGGGGAGGGCGGCGGGCGCAAGTGGACGCGTTGCGGGCTCCTCGCCGCGCGGACCTGGGCAGCGCCCAGACAAGCGGCGAACGCCCGGGTGGCTGTGCGGGCGACTCGGCCGGGGTGAGTCGGGGCCCCAGGGGGCGGGGGCCGCGGAGACCCCACCCCGGGCTCTGCGGGGCCCGGCTCCTTCCGGGTTCGGGCTCCGGGGTCTTGGTGGGGACTCCCGGGCGGCCGGATGGCCCCCCAGGGTCGCGTCCCGGCGGCGGGTCCTGGGGGGGCGCTGCCAACTGGAGGGCGCCCGAGGAGGGGGCTGCGCGGGCCTGGCCGGGGCTCCCCAGCTGTCAGACGGGGCGGGCTCGCGGGGACGGCGGCCGCAGCCGGCCACTGGCGACGGACCTCTGGGCTCTTTGCTCTCAGAGCAACCCCCCCCCCACTCCCGCCGCGTTTTCTACTTTCGCTATTTTATCTTGTTTTTTATTTTACTCCAGTGCGCGTCCCCGCAGCGGAAGAGTCGCCCGTGAGTTCGCTTCTGCCCGGCTTTCGCGCGCGGACTGGCTTGCTCTCGCGGCGCTGTCTGGAAGATGGGCCCCGCGGGACGCCTGGTGACCATCCGGAGGAGCGGGGCCGACGGCGCGCACTTCCCGCTGAGCCTGAGCTCCTGCCTGTTCGGGAGGTGAGCCCTGCGCACGCGCGCGCGCGGGCCGCGGGCCCGGCCGGCCGGACTCCGAGGTCCCAGTCCCCGGATACTAAGGCAGGGCCCGGGCGCAGCGCCCTGGCGGGGGCCCGTCGACTCGGCGGCGGCGTGGTGTATCACCAAGCCGAGCCTCGGAAACAGCGTTTGTGTGTCCAGTGGTGCTTTTGTCCCGCGTCGATGTTGACATCGACTTGATAACATGTTTAGGTGCAGGGAAGCGGAGACAGTGCCACATCCGGTTTCAGGTCAGGCGTCTTGAGCAGACAGACAGCTGGTGCCTCTGAAACCCCGGGACGGGGTCGGGGACGGGGACGGGGACACACTGCAGAGCAAAGGGAGGAAGGAGGGAGGCGCCTGCGGGGCTTGCTGGTCTTCGGGGCGGGAGCCCCTCGGCTAGTGTTTTGAGAATGTCTCCTCTCTCGGTGCCTTCTTGCGTCGGTGGTGGCCGTTACTGGGGTCCCCTATGACCAGCGACATTGTTAATCGCCCCCATGTTTCTAACGCACGCGCCCATTTAAACAAATAATAGGTCACTCTCTCCCCGGGACCCCCGCACGGTGCCACCTTGACTCCCCTGCAACCCACACCGGGTGCTGCTGGCTGCCACGCCACCTGCAACACCTGTGGCTCGTCTGTCCCACTACCAAACTCCCCGAGGACAGGAGCGTTGGTGGATAATTCTGTCCTCAGTGTGTGTGGGGCGGGGGGGGGGCGGCGTGTACGATCAGTATTTAGCGCGGGAGCTGCAGAACTGGAATCAGCCCACAGCCGTGGCTATCAGCTGACGCCCGTTAGGCCCCTGGCAAGATGTTTCCGTGTCCCAGCGTGGGAGGCTCATGCCCCTGGCCTCCGTGAGCCCAGATCAGGGACGCTGCTGCTCCTCCTGCAAGGCACAGGACAGTCCCCTCTGTAAACAGTTATGTGGCCGAGGTCACTAGCTCTCATCTATACAGATCCGAGTTGGCAGGCGCCTGCCAAACAATTTCTCACTTCTGATGAGATAATCTCTCGCTTGCTGGAATGTTCTTTTACCTAAAAATCAAATTCTTTTCTTTGATGTAAAGTAGCTGTTCACTTTCATTAGCTTCTTTTCTAAAGAAAAAAAAAACATAAAAACACATTGGTATCAAATGGCAGTAATTGTGGTTTTTCTACAGCAGTGATTAGGTGATTATGCAAGACTTGTAATTTAGACACCCATTAATAAGCGTTTGGTCGCAGGATGTGGGCGGGAAGAGAGATCTTGGACTCCAGCCGTGCCTACTGAGAGCAGAGACAAAAAGTGTAGCGCTGTTCCAACCCATAAAACCACAGGGCGGTAACAGGACACCTGGGACCTCACCAGGGCCCACTGCTGGGTTTGGGAAGTCTCCCTGCACTTCCTGCTGGGCTGAGCTGTTTTGTGAAAAGACCAGTTGAATCTAGATATCTTTTTTATTTGTTACTTGTAGATTAGTATTTTTAAGGACAGACTTGTGAATCTGTCGGTTAATAGAGTAGTTTATTTTATTTTATTTATTTATTTTTAGAGAGAGGGGAAGGGAGGGAGAAAGGGAGAGAAAGAGAAACATCAGTGTGTGGTTGCTTCTCACGTGGCCCCCACTGGGCCCACAACCGAGGCATGTGCCCTGACTGGGAATCCAACCAGCGACCCTTTGGTTCACAGCCTGTGCTCAGTCCATGAGCTACACCAGCCAGGGCTAATGGAGTATAGTTTTAAAACAATAAAAAGCTCACAAGTAATAGCACTTAACTGTTTTTTCAGGCAAATGACAGATGTGCATAACCGACTTAACCTTTTGAAGAACACCATGATATAGGTGCTAATGTAATTCTTTTTGTATTTAAAGAACTGAGTCAGAGAGAGAGAGGTGCTGGCATCAAATACAGCACTTTTGGTGATGATTAAACCTTAGCCCTGGCTGGTGTGGCTCACTGGTTGAACACTGGCTTGCAAATCAAAGTCGTGGGTTCCATTCCCAGTCAGGGCACATGCCTGGGCTGCAGGCCAGGTCCCCAGTAGGGGGCGCATGAGAGGCAATCACACATTGATGTTTCTTTCCTTGTCTTCCCCTCTCTAAAAGTTAAATCTTAAAAAAATAAAAAACGAACTTAAAAACCTTAAACTATATATAACATTACAAATGAACCTACATAAACCTTTCTGTCGAAAAGCAGCAGAGTATTGATAGTAATTCTGATTCTGCAAACTGATGTAAAATACTCCTTTAGTGGGGCCTTATAGGCCTAGATATTAGAGTGAAAGGTAAGTCAATATTATATAGTAACGTTATAATCATTTTTAAGGGCTCTGAGTTTTAAAGATTTAAAGTACTTGCTTATACAGTACTTGTAGAAATTAGCAAAATTCGGAGCCGGCTGACAGCACCCAGTTGGTTATGCCGTTACGCTCACAGATCCAACGCAGAGTCCAGTGCCGTGCTGTTTTATTTTGAAATATTGGTGTAATTTTCTTACTGCAACAACCTAAAAACACCTCCCTCCTTTCCGACGAAGGGGCGTGGAGTGCGACATCCGCATCCAGCTGCCGGTGGTGTCCAGGCAGCACTGCAAGATCGAAGTCGGCGAGCAGGTGAGCGGGCTCCGGGGAGACCAGTGTTTACAGAGAACACCCCTCACCTACGGCCTCGGCGTCACCCATGTCCCCCTGTGCTTCCGCTTGCAGGCAGTGTTGTTTAACCTCAGTTCCGCGAACCCCACGCAGGTGAACGGAGCCGCCATCGACGGGCCCGTGCGGCTGAAGCACGGCGACGTGATCACCGTCATCGACCGCTCTTTCAGGTCCGTGGGGTAACGGGCCTCCCGCCCCCAACACCGGCCTTGCAGGCCGCCCGCCCGTGGTGCTTCTCTGACGCGGGCGAGTGTCGGCGGGCCTGAGACGGTCGTTCTCCAGCCAGCCCCTAACCCTGTTCCGGCGGACCCGTGGGGCTTGCGTCCCCGCAGCGGGGTCCCAGAGGGGGGGCCCGGTCCCACGGGAGTTCCAGTTTGTTGTGTTGAGAAACTGCACACGTTTTTTTAGTTTATTGTTTTAAACTAAAATATTCTGGTCAAGAAAGGTACCAAACGAGATGAGGTGAACAGCCCTGGAATCATCACGTGTTACGGGCTGAATGGCACCCCGCAGCCCCCCCCAAATTCACGTGTTGAGGTCCTGACGCCCAGGACCTCAGAAGGGCTGTGTTCGGAGGCAGGCACGGCCTCTAAAGACAGGGGCAGGTTGATCTGAGGCCTGCACCGCAGGCCGGAATCCAGCCTGGCTGGTGTCCTGGTGTGAGGAGGTGAGGACCCAGAGGGACCCCGGGCCGCAGGTACTCAGAGGGACAGCCCGGTGTGCAGGTGGCAAAGGGAAACCATAACAAGGCGAGAAGCAAGGCCCAGAGGAAGCCAACCCTGCGGACACCTTGACCTTGGACTTCCAGCCTCTGCAACTGTGAGAAATAAGTTGTTTAAGCCGCCCAGTGGGCGGTATTTTGTTATGGAAGCTCTAGCAGACTAACCCACCACTGAAGGCATAATTAGAGCATTTCCAGAAGCTTCTTTGATGTGTCTTCTAAAATCACTGCTTTCTCTCGCCAAGCAAAGCACTAGTGTGGCTTTCTGATCGCATGAGACTCTTTGGGGTGTGCTGCCTGGGCCTGCCCCCCGACCCCCGCGGTTCTGCCTGTGAGACCCCGTCCCTCTGTGATAACAGTGTGTGCTTGGAACTCACTCTGCGCCCGGGGTGGCGGGGTTCACATGGACGGCCTTCTCCCTGCCTCATCTGGTGGGTTAGGTCCACGGCCATGCACAGCTGGTTCTCTCTGCGTGGACGGTGGAGTGACTTCCAGTGTCTGAATTCGCCTTGTGGTCAGATAAAGCTTTTACTGATCTGCGTGTCTGAAAACAGGTGCCTTCCACAGCTCTCGGCGCTCTGTCCGTGACCGGCAGGTTCAAATCCCCCCCGCACCAGGGTCACAGTCATTCTGCCCTGATTCTTATTATTCCACCGGGGATGTTAAAATCCTACATTGAGGGCGTGTTTTTTTTCCTTTTTAAAAATTTTATTTATTTATTTTAGCTATGTTATTTTTTCTCTACTGGAGACTTGGCTGTGTGTTTAAGTTCAGGATGGTCTGGTGGATGAAGGTCTATCATTTATTCTTTTGACATGTTCTATGCCTTTAACAGTGCTTTTGATGAGGATTTCATGTGTGATTTTTTTCTAGCACATACGTTCAACTTTTCATAATCCTTAAGGTCTAGGGTGTTCCTTGGAACTGGCTGTTAGGAGCCCTTTTTGTTTATAATTCGTTTGTCTTGCCAGAGGGGCCTGTGGTCGTTAGAGAGTGTGCTTGGTCTCTGAGGACAGTGTGTGTCTCTCCTGTCCGATGGTGGGGCGGCCTCTCCAGCCCTCTCCTGGTTGCTCTTTGCAGGTATATCTCTTCCGCGCTTTTACTGTCGTCCTAGTTGTGTCTTTGAATCTAACTTGTGTCTCTTGTAAAGACACAGGTGGGTCACTTTTCCATTTGTTTTGCTGAGTGGGACTCTGCCTTCATTACGGCCTCCATGAAGTAGTTTCTGCTGTGCCATCTGAACACCCGGGTCGTTTCTTTCCCTCTGCTGTTCATGAATTCGCTTCATTTTTAAAGGGTGTTTTTATTGAACAGGAAGCTGTAGGGAGGAAGTACTTGATGTGGAAGGGGACAGGAAATATTTCCTCAAAATGAGACTCTGTTCAGTTTCAGGGTAACTGAGGTGACTGAACACCTCCAACAGCAAGCAGCAAGTGGGTCTTGGGAACAGAGCTAGAACTCCGCCCTGTGAGTTCAACCCCAGACGCCCAGCCACTTCAGGTGGCCTCCACATTCAGATCAGCCCTGGCTGGTGTGGCTCAGTGAACTGAACACCGGACTGCAAGCAAAGGGTCGCAGGTTCAGTTCCCAGTTGGGGCACATGCCTGGGTTGGGGGCCAGGTCCCCCGTGGAGGGCACATGAGAGGCAACCACACACGGAGGTTTCTCTCTCTCTTTCTCTTTCTCCCTCCCTTCCCCTCTCTCTAAAAATAAATAAAATCTTAAAAAAATAAAAATAAATTCACATCAGGCCACTTCACTGTGTGCCCAGGTTCTCTCTGCATTTTAAAAGGTTGATCCCTGGGGGGTGTGAGATCAACTGTACATCGTGCCCAATGCCTGTCATCTTCATAAACTGCCTGTTTGTCCACTCGCAGAGGGACTGAGTGGGTAGCCGAAGAGGTCACAGCGATCTTCAGTTAGAGCCAGCTCCGCAGTCTCTGCAGGAAGTGACGGCACTGTGGTTCAGGCCTCCGACGCCCCGGGGCTCCCTGGTTGGCTGCCAGCCCGGCAGCTGATTTCTGGGAGCGTAAACTAGCGAGCGCCCCTTCCGTCCTCGCTGCAGTGGGTTTGCGCGGAGGAGGTGCTTGCTTGGGGACCGTGAGGCCTGCAGGCTGCTCAGTGTTAAGAAATTAATCTGGGCCCCCAACCCTGGACACAGGGGTTCCGAAGAAAACTCGAGGCACCTTGTCTTAGTTTCTTTCAGTAAAAAGCACTTTCCTGACTCTAAATTTATTTCCAGGAATAAGGTACCAATTTTTTTTTAGAGATTCTATTTATTTATTTTTAGAGGGGGGCAAGGGTTAGAGGAAGAGAGGGAGAGACACATCAATGTGTGGCTGCCTCTCGGGCACCCTCGCCGGGAGCCCGGCCTGCAAGCCAAGGCATGGGCCCTGACTGGGAATCGAACTGGCGACTCTTGGGTTCCTGGGCTGGCTCTCAGTGCACTGAGCCACCCCAGCCAGGGCGGGGGTGAGGTAGCATCTTGAAGACCACGTGAGGTCTGTGCCTTGCCCCCTCGCTATGGCTCAGACAGGCAGGCTTCGCTGCCAGTCCCAGAGCAGTGATCCCAACACGTGTCTGCGTTCTGTGCACCCCAGGTACGAAGACGACCGTCACCAGAGTGGAAGCGCGTCGGCTGAGTTTCCAGGACAGGTAACGGGGTCTCGTCGCACCTTGGGCTCTGACTCTCGCGTGTGCAGATAGGGGATCACTTGTGTGCGCGTCCATGGACAGTTCCGTACGAGGGAGGTGACGTAGCAGTTAGAGCAGGAACGTGTAACCAAGGGGGTGAAACAAGTTGAACTCGGATTAAAATCATTTAAACCGCACTTCCTTCTTTATTCAGAACGAGAGTTCTGAGTTAGTCTTCCCCGCTTGGCCCGAGGGCTCCGGGCTGCTCAGGACCTGACCCGCAAACCTCTGGCTGGGACAGCCGCTCCGGGGCTCGGGGGCCGCCCGTCACCGTCCTGCGTGGCCGCCCCGCCCCTCTGCGGCGGTCACATCGGGGCTGTGAGTCCCACGGCTCCTTCCCGGTTTTGGTGGGCAGGTGACCCATGACCCTGGAAGGGAACTACCGCCGGGGTCGCGCGGCAGAGTCTCATTACTTGTGCCGTCAGTGCAGGAACCGTACTCCAGGTGGTGCAGCTGACTAAAGCACCACCTTTCTGGGCCCATCCTCGGGGACTCAGTGGGACTTAAGAGTGTGAGGCACATCCTGAGAATTTCTCCTGACGGAGCTGCCCATGCTTCTCAGGGTCGGGGTGGGGTTGTTGGGGTCTTGTTATGGGCACCCCTGAAATTAGCAGCGGGGGCTTCACGGAAGACGTCTGCTCCTGCGGAGTGCTGAGTCTGCCCCGGAGACATGGCCTTCATGTTGACCCCGAGGCTCATCCGCCCTGGGTGGGGGAAGGCTGGGTTTTGAGGTGTCCCGCCCACCTGCCATCATTCTGACCTGTTAGTGGGTGGTGGGAACCACCCAGCTGGAGGGCTGGGCTGGGGGTTAGACAGGAGCTCTCAGTGGTCTGTGAACTCTTCGTTATTTGGGTGGGACAGAGCACTAAAACTGAACGTTTAGAACCTACTGTAGCAGTTTGTACATGTTTTAAAATATCACTTAATTTTTATTGTTCAGTCCTGTCTTGGTCAACTTCTGGTTGGAAATTAGAAACTGATGCTTCCGTGTGACGTTAGGGAAGCAAGATGTGAGATGCCAGGAAAGTGGACATTGATTTCGGAAGTTAAATTATTTGCCTTTGGGTGTATTCTGTGGATCCCTCCCCACCCGGGAATTTTCCAGATGCTATCTGGAAAATTTCCAGATCCCCAAAGGGGAAACAACACTGGGCTTTTATGTCTTAAATACACGGTACCGTATGCCGGTCCTTGGCCCCTGCAGCACCCCCGTGACAGACCGGGGCAGTGCTGGCCCTGCGGGCAGCACCATGGTGCCCTGCGGCGGCCGCCCTGCCTGCCGGGCCCCGACACTCCCAGGAGTCTGCCGGCCGGGAGCACACGCGTGGGGTGGCGCCGGGTTCCCCCACAGGTCCCACGGCCGACTCCTGGTGAAACCGAGGCTGCAGTCTGTAACTCGGTGCCTCCGGTGGGTTCTCTGGCGCAGCATGCGGGTGAGGTTTCACCGGAGCGCCCTTGGAGGACGAAGGGAAGGAAGCGCGAGGAAGCCGTAACAACTCAACGCAGGTTCAGTGTAAACGATGTTCAGCTTCCAGTTTGGTTCTTACTCCACCACTGTACGTGTATTCAGAGCGCTGGCCCCCGCACGTCTGGGGCTCATTTCTCCAAGTCTCTTATAAGAGGGACATCAGGCCAGATGGGCAAAGAAGGCTGCCAGCAGGTAGACCATTTTCACAAACCGGACCGTCGGTTCGGGAAAGGGCACTAAACCACTCTTTGTTCTTCCCCAATCCACAGGCCGCTCCGCGTCGGGTCTCCCGGTCTGGCTTCTCTCCGGACCCTGGTTAGTAGTGTTTCGGTTTATTTCAGACCCTGCGAGGTCAGTTTTCTGCGGGGGGTGGGGGGGAGCATTGTGGTGGGGGGTGGGGGGGGGACAGGATCAGGAGGGTTCTCGGTCCGGGCTCACGGGAGTAGACAGACACGCGCAGACCCCGAGGTAAGGCTCTGCCCGGGTGACAGGCGGCGTGCCGTGCTCACTGGGGGGCGCGCACGTGGGTGAACAGTCTTGCTGCGCTGTCTGCTCCGTTCCGAGTGGATGAATAAATAGCATTTGATGCCTCGGACTGCTTACAGGAGACTCATGTATTGTCTTCTTCGGGTCATAACACTAGTGTCAGAATACGGTTATGACACATTTGGGGCGTTCAGTAACGTGTAGTCTAAGTGAAAAGTCTGGTTACAAGACAGTTTTAAGTTTTCAGAACTGCCTGTATTAATCCCTGAGAAAGCCTTGAACTTGTCTCTTATTTCCTAATTCACTGTCAAGATGGCGAAGCTGGAGGTCGCGGTGCTGCCGGCTCACAGCTCACGGAAGACGGCGCCTCGGGAGAGCCCTCGGCACGCACGGGGGTGGCCGGGGCGGCCCGCGCCGTCTCGCGCAGCTCCGGGGGCCCTGCTGCCAGAAGCACCCCCGATGGGCGTCGCTCGGAACCCCTCAGGGACAACCGCAGACACGCAGCGGGTCCCCCGGCTGGGGGCCTTGGCGAGGGGGCCCGCGGGACCTTAGTGAGCAGGAACGGAGGAGCCGAGGCTCTGCCCTCGCCGTGGGGTCTTGAGAAGGGTGGAGAGAAAGAGTCTCCCTTTAGGAAGCTTTATGAGTCTATGAAGGAAAAGTTAGACGTGAAATCAGAAAAAGAGAATGTTCTACAGAGTCATAGGAAATCAGGGTCCCGGGGTCACTGCGCAGCCGACTCCGAAAGTGCTGGTGGTTCGTGGGGCGAGACGCCGCGACAGGGCTCCCCCGGGTGCCGGCGGAGGTCCCGGCGGAGCTCCCAAACCAAGGCCGTCCCTGCCCCGGGACAGCGAGAGGAAGAGGGAACAGGCGAGGGGCCTGGCCCCACTCTCGAGGCCACCACGAGTCCCAGCGTCCCCCCCAAGGAGACCACGGGAGCCAGCACCCCTGTCCAATGCTCTCGCCGAAACTCCTCGCCAAAGCGCCAGAGCGGAGGCCGGAGCGGTGTCCGAGGAAGCGAGCCCGAGAGCCCGGAGCGGGGTGCAGCCTTCACTCCGAAGGAGCTCTTCCCCGGGCACGGGACGCCCACTGCAGGTGAAGGTGCCGACAGCTTCGGAAACACGCCGGAGAAGGCCTTTTCCAGAAAGAGGCGGAGCAGCCTCCCTCCAAAGGTCGACGTGGTTGCTGCAGAAGCAGAGATTCCAAAGCCAGCGGCGCTCACCCCGCTGCTGGTCCGCGTGGAGAGGAAGGGGCCAGGGGCTTCGCTCGGGCCACCCCAGCCGCGGCGCGCCACAGCTGGCCCCCCCGGCCTCGGTTCCACTGGCGTCGGCGACTGGGACGAGTCCATTCGTAAGTTTCCTTCACTTGAAGTTCCTTTCCCCCGAAGGTCCCATGTCCCTCCGTCCACGAACGACGTCACAAGACCTCCTTTCTCACAACAACGGTGCGCCCTGGGGCAGAGAAGCCAGGCCCGAGGGCACGGGACGGCGGCGTCCGTGGTCCACGTCGGGGCCTTGTCCTGACACCTGCTGGTCACTGCAGGGGGTGGCGGCAGGGGCGGGGGTTAGGGAAGGGCGGGTGTAGCCGGGGCTGCGTGGGGGCTGCAGACGTTTTCACTCGACCGCCCCGTTCCGGCCCCAGCAGCGCAGGACGGGGCACACGCAGTCACCGTGCCCGGGGGGCTCAGCTCTGCTCTGCCGAGCGTCCGTGTCCCGTGAACGGGGCCTTCTAAGTGAGGGAAGTCCCTCAGAAACCTTCATGACAGGGCGGCCCCCAGGTATTTACACCGTCTTCAGGGTCTCCTGCACGTGGCTCCTCGGGAGACACGGCGCTGTCCCCACGGCCGTGTGTGTTGGGGGCTGTTTTGTGCGCTTCGCAGACAGCCACGCTCGAGCGCCCACGGGACAGGCGGTGCCATCTCCGTGTTGCAGAGGCGTAGGCGGGCACCCTCCTGCCCCGCCGCGAGTGGCAGGCGAGGTGGCTCCCGGGTGCCTGCCCTCTGCCGGGGTCTCAGGCGTCAGATGCGGCCGCTGGCCGTCCTCTGGGCCCTGCTCTGCCGGGTGCGTTGTGGGCGCAGTGCGGCTCTCCGTCGTGGGGCCTGCACAGTCGGTCCCGGTGTCCCTGAGTGTCAGGGCGGGCGTGACACTCGCACAGGACTGGCGTGGGCCAGGGGCTTGTAAAGGAGTGTCGTGGGGGTGGTGTCGCGTGCACGGCCAGCGAGGACCCCCTGCAGAGCTTCCGGCGAGTTCTGCGCCCAGGCCGGTCTCGGCGAGGCCCGAGTACATGTCTCCGGGGAATGTTTGCTCGGGCTGGCGCTAGAGCGTCCGTCCCTGTGGCCCCCGGCCCCGCAGCCAGGTGTCTGCGTCAGGCCGGGCCCTCCAGGGTCTGTGTCCGCACAGGACGTGCCGGCATTGTAAAGGGCATGCCTGCTGTCGAGCCGGGGTGGGCATGTGGGTGGTCGGACCCCGAGCTGTCATGAGCCCTGAAAGCAGCTTTCGCTTCCTCAGCATCACCGGGGAGGGAAGGTCGGGGGGGGCATCCGGGGCCAGGGACCTGTCCCGTCAGTTCGTCTTTAGTAGCAATCAGAAACTCCAAGCCCTGGCTGGCCTAGCTCAGTGGACTGAGCGCGGGCTGCGAACCAAAGTGTCGCAGGTTCGATTCCCAGCCAGGGCACATACCTGGGTTGCAGGCCACGGCCCCCAGCAACCGCACATTGATGTTTCTCTCTATCTCCCTCCCCTTCCCTCTCTAAAAATAAATAAAGAAAATCTTAGAAATAAAAGGAAAAAAAGAAAGAAACTGGCCCTCTGGGCTCCCGGGGTAACTTGCTCCATCGCATTCCCTGTCTGTGTTCTCCACTTCAGACAAGGTGGACGGGGTGCCCTTGAAGACACGGCGGGTCTCCTTCGGGGGCCACCTGAGACCCGAATTATTTGATGAAAACTTACCTCCTAACACGCCTCTCAAGAGAGGAGAGACACCCACGAAGAGGAGGTCTCTTGTGACCCACGCTCCAGCTGTCCTCAAGAAAATCATCAAGGTACGTGCCGCCGCCGCCGGGGGTTTCCGGCCCGCCCGATGGCCCGCGTCCCGCGTGTGTTCTGCCAAGCTCCTCACAGGAGTAAAAGCACACTCAGACTGGTCTCTTCCTAGTGTAGAGAAACAACAAAACGTCTAAATGAGCCGATTCCCCGGGGGGGGCGGGGTTGGAGAAGGAACGCCTGGGTGTCGAACCTCTGTGGGAGGTGGCCGAGCCCAGGCGAGTGCTTGGGCCTCTGCCTGCCCAGGCCCCCTGCCCACCTCCCCGGGCCAGAGGGCCCCTCTGGGGCCGCAGCGACAACCGCCAGTTGATAAAAGTCTGGAGAGGCCATGACACATGACCATAAGGTGGTGGTTCTTCTTTTAGAATCACGAGGTGGGAGGGAAATCTTGGGTGGTGACGCCCCTACGACCCTCACCGCCAGCTGCTGGGGATTTTCATGCCGCTCCCCTGGGCTGGGCTGTCGCAGTGTTAGATCTGGAGGGAGGCGTGGCCCGAGGCTCACCTTCCCCGGAGGCGGAGGCGGGGCTGACTTCCCTTGTTTTTCACACCCAAGGGCCTGCAAGGTGCGTCTGCCTCCTTCCTGTGCCTGCCGACCCCCGGCAGTGAGCGCCCCTCTTTCCTGCGCACAGACGCGGTCATGCACCCGCCGATTGGTCTGCCTGGGTTCAAGCCGCAGCCCTCACTTCCTGGCGGGCGGTGTCCTCCACCCGCTGCCGGGGACACCTCTCAGTGAGGGCTTGCTCGCTGCGCTTTCGCCTTCTTTCCTTCAAGGGTGGGCGCAGGCGCCCACGCCTGCCTTGCACGTGATGGACGGTGGTTGAAATGGTTTGGTGCTTCAGCATTTAAACAGCTAAAGTCCTTCGTGTGGGCTCAAATCCAGCTTTATTCAAACTTTCTGAGCATTGGGGAGCGGTCCAGAATCTCTCACGATGACCACTGGGCACCCTGCAATGAGTTCAGGTTCGGGGTTTATTGTAGGTTCCTTGCTCTTGGAAACAGCTAAAATCCTTGACTGGGTGGGGCTCTCACGGTCACCTTAGAGGTGTGACGTTCGTGGCGAGCCTTCTTAGAAACACCTCGATCTTGACAGGGACAGCCCCAGGAGTCAGGGAAAGAGGATTCTTCGGAAATCCGCCTGGAGGTGACCGCACAAAATGTGCCTGTGAGCTCCCCAGCTGGCCGTCCTGCAAGATCGTCTTCGGGGGCAAATGACGGTCGCCGGAGGTCGTCCAAGCCACCAGCCTGGAGCGGCAGCCAGACACCGCCGCAGACAGAGGTCCCCAAGCGGGGCGGGAGGAGGAGCGGCGGCACGCCTGCTCAGAGGGCCGCCGCGGAGCGCGGCCAGCACGGCCTCCTCCAGATGATTCAGTCCCGGAGGAGGAGTGGGGCCACGGAGGCCAACCTGATTGGTGAGTGTCGTGTCGTGTCTCGGGGGCGTTCGCAGCTGGGTCTCCTCACTCACCGACTCCCTGTGGGGAGGTGTCAGCGTCTCTTCCTTTCCACAGTGGCCAAGTCCTGGGCAGACATCGTGAAGCTCAGCGCCAAACAGACGCCGGTGAAGGCCGTGAAACGCGGTCCCCCGAGACAGCCGAGCAAGAGGCACAGGAGGGTCAAAACCCCGAAGGTACGGGTTCTGCCCCGAGTCCCTCGGGCGCGCACAGTGTTACTTCAAGCGGCCTTACGTGTGGACCTGCGCTCTGACCGACGTTCTGTCCCCCCGCTCGCCTGTTTTCCAGAAGCCTGCGGGCCGCGTGTACAGTGAGTTCAGTACCGGCCACGCCAACTCTCCCTGCACCATCGTGATAGGAAAGGCGCACGTCGAGAAGGTGACCGTGCCCGCGCGGCCCTACAGAATGCTGAACAACCTGGTGTTCGACAGGAAAATCGACTTCAACGAGGACCTTTCAGGTGAAAGCACGACCTTGGCTCCCGTGAGCCATGGTCCTTCGATCCGTGGGGGTGTGGGAGGGTGTTGCTCTGCTGCGGGGGGAGCTGGAGGCCGGACAGCGCAGCCGCCTTCCTGGGGTCATCATGGCCCAGGGAGGGAAAGCTTCATCGGCGGGGGTCAGGCGTCCTGCGTGACGCGGGTACGAAAGGTAGACGCCCACCGTTGCCTGGGGAGCAGCACCGTTACCCAGGGGACCGGGAGCCACTCTGTGGGAAGAAGGCAGACTTGTTATACTTGCCCCCGAGTTCGAGCGGCTGGTTTGAGCCGTATTTTGCTGCGAGATTTCCTTGTCCTCCGGGTTGCTTAACTGTTTCCCGAGTCCGCGGTCTGTGAGGAGGTCCCCTGTCGGCATTGCCAACGCTCACGCGCGGACGAAGTCAGTGAGCCAGCGTCGCCGTGCCCGTGGGAAGAACGGGGGCGGCTGTAGCGGACTCGGGCCGTGGCGAGGCCAGGGCCAGGCAGGGTTCCAGGCCACCGAGCCGGGCCGGTGGTTCCCGCTTTGGGAAGTTGTGCGGGGGATAGGACTTGAGCCCGCTTGGCGGGATCTTGTACTCACTCCGGGGCAGGTGTGAACACGGAGGAGGCGTCTTCTCTGCGTGGGCCGTCTAGTGCGCCCTCCAACCAGGGCCGCGCTGTGTCGGCGCGTTTGGTTTTTAAAAACAAACACCCAGCGTGTGGCGCAGTGGGAACCGAAGCGTCAGTGCCAAGCCCCACGAGTGAACACGGCTGAGCCTCCACCACCCACACGTAGGTGCGGGTGCCCGCGTGGCCCTGAGAACCAGGTGCACGTGCGTGTCCTGATGTATCTTACGAAGCAGTGACATCGAACTTTACACATTCTCTGAAGGAAAAGTAAATGACTTTACGTACCTAGCGCTCAGGACAGTGGGTTTGCTCAGCCTTCCTTCAGCACGCTTTCCCTGAGAGTCACCGGCGTGCGCCCCCTGGTGTGACTTCCATGGCACAGCACCAGCGTGCGGGGCTGCCTAAGGCCTGAGTGTTCTTCCTGAGGCCGGGACAGGGGCAGGCGGAGTCCTGCATGGGCTGGCTGTTGGCTGGGCTGTTGGCTGGGCCGGGCCCTTCCCACAGCCGCTCCAACACAGGGTGCGGGGGCGCTGGGCAGTGTTTTGACCTATTGATGGCAGAACGAGAAAAGTAAGGAGAATGTGGGATAATGAGTGTTTCAGAAAGTGAAATCCTCCATTTAAAGGACTGCGTGTTGTATTCTTCCCCCCTGAGATTATATTAATCCTACTATTTGGTGTTGAAATGAAAAAAAAAATGCTGAGATTATGACCTGTCAGTATTAAAAATGGGCATCCTAAGTCATTTTTAAAACTTGGGGACATTTCACTTGTGCATAAAGTTCAGAGCGGTGTATGTGGACATTCTGAAGGCAGCACAAGGCCACGGGTGTCCGGACGCCTGCCCAGAGGCAGGCACGGGGGCTGCCCGTGTCCTCCAGCCAGAGCTCACCGCTGGGCACGGCGCCGGGAAACTGAGGCGGCCTCCTGTGTAGACTCCCAGGGAAAAGGCAGAGAAGAGGACGTGGAGGTTCTCACATCCGTTCATTGCCCTCTTTCCACGAAATGGGTTTATTAGTAACACACCACCCTCCCCGCCGAGACCCCACCCCCGGGAACCCTGGGGGGTTTAGTCTCGGGCTGTCTGTGGGGGCGGAAGTGGCTGTTTGCATGGAGGGGCCGTATGTTCATTGCCTCTCCGCTGTCTTCGTGTGGCAGGGCTAACTGAAATGTTCAAGACCCCAGCGAAAGAGAAGCCGAAGAGGATGAGCTTACGTCCCACCACCTTTTCCAGTTCGGAGGGCTTGTTCGGACAACAGGTCCAGGTCCCCGAGTCAGAAGAGAAACCTCTGCTCCGCGCCCCGGCCAAGTCTGGTTGGTTTTACTTTCTTCCTAGCGCTTTGGTGTCTTTGCTGGAACTGCGGGCAGTGGTGTTGTTGTTGCTGTTTCTGTTGCTGTTGTTTTAACGACAGGTGTTGTCTTCTGTCTCTACGACGGACGCTCTGATAAAATGCCTCTTCTAGCCTCTCCTGTTGTTTTCGGGGGGAGTCCTATGAGCAGTTGAGCCAGCATTGGTATTTAGTGGCTTGAGTAAAAAGGAATATTCCCTTAATAATCAAGCTACCTGTGTACACTTTTTTTGAACTGATTTCAGAGAGAGAGGGATTTGTTGTGCCACTTACTGATGCATCCATTGGTTGCTTCTTATACGTGCCCTGACCAGGGATCGAACCGGCAACCTTGGCATATGGGGATGACGCTCTAACCAGCTGAGCTACCTGGCCAGGGCTGTGTACAATTCTGCCTCTTTATTTATTACAAAGAGGTGATAAGCCAAAAAGTGTAGTGCTCTCTCATACTTCTAAGTAAATTGTTCGAACACAGAGTGACTGCAGATTACCGAAGACAAAGATAACGGTGCGGACACCGTGCCGTTCTCCCTGCTCCCCTCCTGGGAGGGGGCGTGCCCCGGGGTGAGCGTGGGGCGGGAGAGCCGAGTCCGTCCCGCTCTCTCACTTGGTACCGAGTTTGTGCTGTAGCGAGAACACCCGGCTACACGAAGGACGCTTCCTGCAGCTAAAAAGTAGACATCCTTGCTCTGACGGGGACACCGCGTAGTCTACGTGTGAGCCACGTGACCGCGTCGGTGGTTCAAAATAAGGAACAGCTTTTTCTCACGTTTGAAGAAAAGAACTGTCTGTGTGCAGGTCGCCGAGACATGGCAGGGTCGCCTCCAGGGGACCCTTCTTTAGGAATTTTGTTCACTGTCTGAGTCCTGTGGATTCTATCCACCTATGCACGGCCCCACTCGCTAACACAAGTAACATTATCCTTCAGCGTGCACGGTTCTCAGGTCAGACAGATGCGCAGCACCTCTGCGGACTCGGATTGTTGGTAAGGGGATGAGGAGGGTGAGTCATTGCCCGCTACACAATAGTTCGTGAGGTTAAATTACCAAATCCGTACAACACAGGGAAGAGAATATTCTTACTGTCTATGCTTTTACTTTTTATAGGAGAGAGCGTGTCCCCCAATGCTCAGAATGTGCCAGAAGAGCCGTCGGATGAAACGCCTGCAAGCCCAGCCCTGAGAAGACAGTGTATGACAGTAAATAAAAACATGAAAACTCCACCCCCTGAGACACAGCCTTTGAAGACAGCGTCCAGTGCGAACAGACCCAGGAGGTCCGCGGGGCGCAGGAGCACCCCAGTGCCGGGCACAGAGTGTGAACAGGAAGACCCAGAGTCGGACGCTGCCGAGAGCATCTCGGGAAGAGGCCTGGGGAAGTCGCCGGGACAGGCACGGCTCGCGGAGAGAGAGATGGAGGAGAGCGAAGGAGCCTTTGCGACATGGAACGGGAACTTTGAATCGAGAGAAAATTCTGAGAAGAGGATAGCTGTGAGGAGATCACGAAGATCGTCGGAGCTGAAAGGCACACCAAGAGCAGATGTGATCGCCACGAAGAGACCGCGAGAGACGGAATCCACGGAAGACCTGGTGGGCACCCACCATCTTCTCCAAACCCCAGGTCACGCCGAGGCACCAGTGGGTGTGGAGAACGGAGCCACAGGGATGTGCGCCAGATTTCCGAAACCAGAGCCGGTCGGCACGCCAGCCGAGGGGAACGGGCGGGTCAAGACGCCTTCCCGGAGTGTGAGTGCGGAAGCGCTCTCCGTGCTCAGGAAGCCCGCACCGACCCCGGGGGGTACCGAGCACACCCACACAGAACCAGTAGGTGGTGACGAGAGGGTGAAAGCATCACAGAAGTTTTCAGAACAGCAGCAGGACTCAGCAGATCATGTGACCGGAAGTAGGAGGAGGCAAAGAACACCCAAGAGGAAGCCCCAACCCATAGAAGACCTGGCTGGCTTGAAAGAACTCTTCCAAACACCTAAACACACCGTGGAAACAGCGACTGATGAGAAAACCATGAAAATACCCAGCAAATCTCCAAAACCAGAGCCAGTCAGCACACCGACCAGCACAAAGAGACGTCTCAGGACACCTCTGGGGACAGTGGACCAGGGGGGAGAGCTCTCGGCCCTCAGGGAGCCCACACCCACACCAGGGAAAATTACATGGTCACCCAGAGGCCCAGTAGGCGATGATGAGGATATCAGAGCATTGACGGGAACTCCGGAACAGAAATTGGACTCAGCCGAACATGTAACTGGAAGCAGAAGGAGGTCAAGAACACCCAAGAGGAAGGCTGAACCCACAGAAGACCTGACTGGCTTCAAAGAGCTCTTCCAAACACCCTATCATGCCGTTCAAACAGTGACTGAGGTCAAAACCATGAAAATACCCAGCAAATCTCCAAAATCAGAACCAGTCAGCACCCCGACCAGCGCAAAGAGACGTCTCAGGACACCTCTGGGCACAGTGGACGTGGAGGAAGAGCTCTCGGCCCTCAGGGAGCCCACACCCACACCAGGGGAAGGCACGCACTCTGCCGGAGAGCCGGAAGGTGATGCTGAAGATATCGGAGCATTGATGGGAACTCCGGAACAGAAACGGGACTCAGCCGAATATGCAGCCAGAAGCAGAAGGAGGTCAAGAACACCCACGAGAGCGAATCAGCCCACAGAAGACCTGGCTGGTCTCAAGGAGCTCTTCCAAACACCACGTCACACAGATGAGCCAATGACTGAGGACATAACCACAGAAACACCCAGCAAATCTCCAAAACCAGAGCCAGTCAGCAGACCATCCAGCACAAAGAGACGTCTCAGGACACCTATGGGGAAAGTGGACACAGAAGAAGAGTTCTCGGCCCTCAGGAAGCCCACACCAACACCAGGGAGAATTGCATGCGCTCCCAGAGCCCCAGTAGGTGATGATGAAGATATCACAGCATTGACGGGAACTCCGGAACAGAAACGGGACTCATCTGAACAGGTAACCGGAAGCAGAAGGAGGTCAAGAACACCCAAGAGGAAAGCTGAACCCACAGAAGACCTGACCGGCTTGAAAGAGCTCTTCCAAACACCCAATCATGTCATGGAAACAGTGACTGATGACAAACCCATGAAAATACCCAGCAAATCTCCAAAACCAGAACAAGTTAGCAGACCATCCAGCACAAAGAGACGTCTCAGGACACCTTTGGGGACAATAGACACAGAAGAAGTGTTCTCAGGCCCTAGGAAGCCCACACCAACACCAGGGAAAATTACACGGTCACCCAGAGTCCCAGTAGGTGATGATGAAGATATCAGAGCATTGACGGGAACTCCGGAACAGAAATTGGACTCAGCCGAACATGCAACCGGAAGCAGAAGAAGGTCAAGGACACCCAAGAGGAAGGCTGAACCCACAGAAGACCTGACCGGCTTGAAAGAGCTCTTCCAAACACCCAATCACGTCGAAACACTGACTAACAACAAAGCTACCAAGATACCCAGCAAATCTCCAAAACCAGAACCAGTCAGCACCCCGACCAGCACAAAGAGACGTCTCAGGACACCTCTGGGGAAAGTGGACGTGGAGGAAGAGCTCTCGGCCCTCAGGGAGCCCACACCCACACCAGGGGAAGGCAGGCACTCTGCTGGAGAACCAGAGGGTGATGCTGAAGATATCGGAGCATTGAAGGGAACTCCGGAACAGAAATTGGACTCATCTGAGCATATAACCGGAAGTAGAAGAAGGTCAAGGACACCCAAGAGGAAGGTTGAACCCACAGAAGACCTGACCGGTTTCAAAGAGCTCTTCCAAACACCAAATCATGTAGTAGAACCTGTGACTGAGGACATGACCATGAAAATACCCAGCAAATCTCCGAAACCAGAACCAGTCAGCACACCAGCCAAGGGGAATGGGCAGATCAAGACGCCTTCCCAGAGTGTGAGTGTGGAAGCTCTCTCCGCGCTCAGGAAGTCTGCACCGACCCCGGGGGGTACCGAGCACACCCACACAGAACCAGTAGGTGGTGACGAGAGGGTGAAAGCATCAAAGAAGTTTTCAGAACAGCAACAGGACTCAGCAGATCATGTAACCGGAAGCAGAAGAAGGTCAAGAACACCCAAGTGGAAGGCTGAACCCACAGAAGACCTGGCTGGTCTCAAAGAGCTCTTCCAAACACCACGTCACACCGATGAGCCAATGACTGAGGACATAACCTCAGAAATACCCAGCAAATCTCCAAAACCAGAGCCAGTCAGCACCCCAGCCCGCACAAAGAGACGTCTCAGGACGCCTGTGGGGAAAGTGGACACAGAAGAAGAGTTCTCGGCCCTCAGGGAGCCCACACCCACACCAGGGAAAATTACATGGTCACCCAGAGCCCCAGTAGGTGATGATGAGGATATCAGAGCATTGACGGGAACTCTGGAACAGAAACGGGACTCATCTGAACAGGTAACCGGAAGCAGAAGGAGGTCAAGAACACCCAAGAGGAAGGCTGAACCCACAGAAGACCTGACCGGTTTCAAAGAGCTCTTCCAAACACCCTATCGTGCTGTTGAAACAGTGACTGAGGTCAAAACCATGAAAATACCCAGCAAATCTCCAAAACCAGAACCAGTCAGCACCCCGACCAGCGCAAAGAGACGTCTCAGGACACCTCTGGGGACAGTGGACGTGGAGGAAGAGCTCTCGGCCCTCAGGGAGCCCACACCCACACCAGGGGAAGGCACGCACTCTGCCGGAGAGCCGGAAGGTGATGCTGACCATATCGGAGCATTGAAGGGAACTCCAGAACAGAAACTCGATTCAGCCGAACACGCAACCGGAAGCAGAAGGAGGTCAAGAACACCCAGGAGAGCAAATCAGCCCATAGAAGACCTGGCTGGTCTCAAAGAGCTCTTCCAAACACCAAGACACACAGTAGAATCAACGACTGAGGACAAAGCCACCGACATGCCCTGCAAATCTGCACAAGCGAAACCAGCTGTCGTGCCCGCTGGCAGAACCCGGCGGCTCAGGGCGCCCGCAGGGAAGGCAGCCGTCAGAGATGAACTCTCAGCCCTCCGGAGCCCCGCACGGGCATCCGGGAGAACCGCCCGGTCGCACAGAGAACTGGAAGGTGGGGATAAGGATATGAAATTGTTTGAGGAACCTCCAGAACAGAAACTGTGCCCTGCAGAAAATGTACCTGCAAGCAAGAGGAAGCCAAGAACATGCAAGGAAAAGGCCCAGATTCCAGCAGACCCGGCCAGCCTTAAAGAGCTCTCACAAACAGCAGATCACACAGAGGACCCAGTGGCTGTGGCCGACAGCACTGAAATGCCCTCCGGGTCTCCACGGGCGGAAGCAGTGGTCATGCCCGCAAGGACGAGGAGGCAGCTCAGGGCACCAACAGGGACAGTGGCGGTGCAGGAAGAGCCCTCGGCCCTCAGGAGGCCCACGGGGACTTCGGGGAAAACCACGCGGTCGACCAGGGAACGAGAGGGAGCAGATAAGGATATGAAATTGTGTAAGGAATCCCCAGAACAGAAACTGGACCCTGCAGAAAATGTAACTGTAAGCAAGAGGAAGCCAAGAACACGTAAGGAAAAGGCCCAATTTCTAGAAGACCTGGCCAGCCTTAAAGAGCTCTCCCAAACACCAGATCACACAGAGGACCCAGTGGCTGTGGCCGACAGCACTGAAATGCCCTCCGGATCTCCACGGGCGGAAGCAGTGGTCATGCCAGCAAGGACGAGGAGGCAGCTCAGGGCACCAACAGGGACAGTGGCGGTGCAGGAAGAGCCGTCGGCCCTCAGGAGGCCCACAGGGACTTCAGGGAAAACCACGCGGTCGCACAGAAAACCTGTAGATGGTGCTGAAGACACCAAAGTGTGCCAGGGACCCCCAAGGCGGGAGCCAGGTCCTGTGGGAACCGCCGTGGGCGGCGGACGCCAGCTGAGATCGAGGCCGGGAAAGGCCCAGCCCCCACACAGCCCGGCCGGCAGCAGACAGCTCCTGCAAAGCCCAGCTCGAGACGAGGAACTGGGCACGGATACTTCGGGCCTTACGAGAACTTCAACGCAAACACCAGACCAGAGCAAACCTGCAACGACATCCAGGAGAGCCCGTAGGGCCCGGGACGAGAAGCCCTCCCAGGAGCCGGTGGACAGCAGGGACCCTGAAAAAGCACCCAGTGAGAGCAGCGTCGCCCTGTCCCCCAAGAGGAAGCGTGAAGACGGAAGCTGCGCAGGCCCGAGGAGGCTGCGGCCCAGGACCCGCGCCCAGGACCCTGCCGAGGAGACGCCGCCACCGCCGCGGAAGAGACTGCGGACGGCCCCCAGAGAGCAGTGCGCGCCCCTGGAACCCTCCGAGCCGAAGAGGGGGCGCAGAGTTTTGAGAGAAGTCATTGAACCTGAGGACGACCTGCCTAGTGCCAACGGGAAAACGAAAAACAAGGGCCGAAAAGAAGACGTGGCCTCCCCAGACAAGGTGATGGTGGCCGATACAGGGTCCTTGTCTGTCTTTGTGGGCAGGTGTCCCCATGTCCGCTTGCTGTTTGGTGTAGGTTGTGTGGAACCCGAGTGTGTTTGTGGGTGCCCCTTCCCGAAGGGGTCTGCCGTCCATGCTGAGTCGCCGCAGACCCCGGGGAGAGTCCTGGGGGGATTCAAGGAGACACCAGGCTAATTTGGGAAAATAACTGGCCAAAATGGTCATTGCAGATGTTCGCAAGCCTTCTCGGGAGCCGAGTGGGGGGTGACAGGCCAGCCTCAGTGTGGACACCGCAGCCACTTAGCCTGCTGGCGGGGGCGGCGGTGTAAGTGAGTCTCCCTCGAGTTCACGTTTTATTTTTCTCCCCACGTTGGGTTTTCATGGTTTGCATCACTCATGAACGGCCCCTTGTGGCTGTCCTTCGTGTCTTTTAGGGAGTGTCCCTGCGCTCCGGTCTCCGAAATAAAACCCGTGGAGCAGAGCAGAGGCCGGAGCTGCTTATAGCAGCAGAAAAGGGTCAAAGAAAGCGGAATGAAAAGAAGCCTGCGAAATCCTCCCACGAGGTGGAGATTCAAAACCTGGAAGGTGGAGCCCGGAGTTCTGCTCCCGGGGACCAAGTGCATGAGAGGGGAATGTCCCCAAGACCTGGAAGGCGGGGTGCGGTGCCCGTGCCCCGTGGAGCCGAGGCGAAAGCTCAGGCGGGCAGCGTGGAGACCCTGGGGGCGACTCAGGAAGAGAAAGGAGGAGCACCACGTCCAGGTGTCATCCGCCTGCGGTCCAGAAAGGTGACGGTCCCTCCTGCAGGGGACGCCTTGGAGAGTCAGCCCAAGCAGAGAGTGACGCGGAGTGCCAAGAGACCCGTGGAAGATGCAAACAAGGCAAGTGGTTTCCTGTTTCGCTTTTCAACAAGCAGGGGACGTTTCCAGGTGCTCTTGCCTCGTGTTGCAGGAGCGAACGAAACACACCGGGCACGGTAATGGCCCCCAGGGGGGTGGCCGGGGGGGGTGGGGGTTCCCACTGCAGCAGCGTACTCGAGTTATGAAGACGCCGGTCAGGAACCTCGGGGACATGGGAACGTTAATATGCATCTGGCGCTTCTGACTGCTGGTCCCGGCGCCGCCCGGGAGAACGCCACCTGTCAGCCTGGCCGAGGTGACTGAGGCTGCTGGGCGGGCCATCGGGGTCTCCCGGGGGTCCCTTTGGAAAGCCCGGGTGAAGCTGAGCAGGGTGTGCCCCTCGGGCCCCTCTGCTCTTAGAGCCCCAGGTGAGTCGGATGTGCTGTGTCCTGTCTCTCTCCCGGGTCAGGTGCCATCTAAGTTAAAGGGCAGCACTAATGTCATGTCAAATTCAGCAGCCCGTGGGCTGCCCATCACTTGAGTAAGTCCACAAGGCCCGGTGACGTGCGCTCAGCGTTCCTCTCGGGGGCGCTTGGCTCGGCCGGCTTAAAAGAAAAAGTGACAGGTAGTCCCTGTCTGTGTGCGGGACACACCTGCTTCCCGGGGTTCAGGTAGCGACACTGGGACCCCCGTGGTGAACGGACTGGGTGACACAGCTGGGTGGCACGCTGCCGGCCACTGGTCCACCCACATCCAGGGTGGCTTTGAAGTCCCTGCCCCGCTGGTCACAGGGACCAGGACACAGCCGCCGACGGGCCAGCGAAGACAGGGCACATGTCCGCCCACGTGTTTGCCACCCCCCTCCCACCCCGTCTCTACACGGCCCCCCACCTGCCGTTCAGAGACAGCACGCGGCTCCGTCTGGCCCGGGAGCTGGCCCAGGCGCCGCATGCGGGCCTCGCGGTGACGAGGGGCCGCCTTCAGTGCCATCGGTGTTGGGGCGTTCCCGTTGCTCGCACTGCCCGTAGATTTTTTTAATCGTTGCCTTGTGTTTTTCTGACCCCACCCACCCCCACCCCGCCGTAAAGATCGCTGGTGGGAAGTGCTCGCCCCGCCTCACCATGCACTCTTCTGACCACGGGTGTGGGGCGGGGGCTGTGAGGCAGGGGCGCGGACACCTGGCCACTCACCCGTGAGCACCGCACGGACACCCGGGCCTCGGGGCGCCACCTTTTGTCGCCTGTTAGCTATTAGGGTGAACCTCCCTCTCCTAAGCGTTCACATGGCAGGTGGCCGGGGTCACACCCCCACACTGCTGAGCTGAGTGACTGTCCCCTTCGCACACATTTGGGGCCGGGGTCCTGCTCGCAGGACCGGGAAGATGTCGTCCTGGAAAGGACCGTTCTCAGGCAGCCCCGCCCCGCCCCGCCCCTGGGGAGGGCCTGGCAGACCAGAGTTACACTGGCTACGGGAACCGGCGTCTTACGTGACTGCGGTTGTGTTCTTCTCCCAAACAGGAGAACGACGCCGCGTGCGCCAAGAAAATGAGAACCAGGAGTCGGCGGGGACAGTGAGGCCGGCCTCTGCGCTGAGACGCGTCAGGGGGAGGGAAAGCAGCACCTTTGTTTTCCTGATAAGTCCTCGGACAACGTTTGCTGTGCGTTTAAAAGTGAATTCTGTAAATCATGTTTTTCAGGCGTTTCAGGGAAGAAAGCTTTTAAAAATGCCGGGCTCTGCAAGGTCTGTTCGGGCTGCGCTGAACTGACAGAAACCGGGCCGGGTTTGGGCCTGCCCCGCCTTCGGCTCCGCCCCCCGCGGCCCGCGGCCCGCAGCCGCCTGGGCCCTAGCACTTGCGTTGTAAATGCTTCTGTGTTTGTCTGTGTCCCCACCAGAGCCCCTGCCCTCACGTCCCCGCACCGTGCAGCAGGCCCTCGGAAACGTGGGGACGGGTCAGTGCCTGGGCTCGGGCGATTCGAGGTAACGCGCTGGGGTTGCCGCAGTTGAGGCCTCGCGGTGGCTCGCCTTTTTCACTGGATGAGTATTCTCAGCTCGGAGAGCTCTCCCCCGGGCAGGACCCGCCCACCGGCCAGGGCGCCGCCGGGTTCCACGCGGCAGCTGACACCCTCTTGGCTGCTCTGCTTCGGGGCCATTCGCCTTTCCGAGCATCCCCTGGCCCTGCCCCGCCGGTGCTTTTCTGGCCGCACCTGTCCGCCTCCACGGTGCCCCGCCCCGCCCCGCGCAGGCAGTGACGCGGCGGTCCCAGCGCGGGGGGGCCTTGCTCAGTGCTGGCACGAGGCCCCGCCCCAGAGGCCCGCGCTCCACCCCGCCAGCCCGCACCCCCAGCCCCGTTTTAAGCCCACACTCCTGTCTGGTCTCAGGTCTGGTGCAAGTCTAACTGCTGGGTGTCTCTTTTTTATGTTTCACTGTGTCCCGTCCCCCCGTGTCCCCTCGCCCAGAAGAGAGCACACCGGCCACCCAGTCACCCTGCCCGTCTGCCCCTTGCCAGGCTGCCGTGAGCACCGAGACCGAGGTGGCCGTCCCTGTCTGCTCTCTCGTCCCCCGCGTTCCCCCAATACCCCATGTCTGCTGCACGGAGTAAGACTCACGTGAAAATAAATATGTGTGAAGGAGTTTGGGCGTGTCTGTCTTCATCCGTGGTTGCTCCTGGGGCCCGCGCTGCCCTCACAGGGCAGCTCTGGGCTGCGTGTGAGGCCCCGGGGCAGGGGGTGTGTCGGGGTCGGTGACACTCGAGCTGGGCCGAGCAGCAGAGTGGCCTCATCAGAAAAGTGCTTGGCTTGAAGGTGAGTCACACGTATCATCCAGGGGGGCCAAGTTCAGGGAAAGTAGCCACGGGCTCCCTGAGACGGAGTCGAGCAGACTCGGGCGTCATCGAGACGCCGCGCACAGGAAAGTTTCTGTCACTGCGGGCCTGCGGAGCAGAGTGCTCCTCAGTGAGACCTTGAGGCTCAACGCTAGCTGGAAACCCCACTGGAGCGCGTGAGCGTGCGATCGAGCCTTCTCACCCTCACCTGCACGGCGTGTCCAGAGCGCAGCCGGGTTTCTGGGTCTGGATTAGAACCCGTTTCAGGGCCACGGAGCCTTGGGAAAGAGCTCACAGGACCGGCGCGGCCTTCGCTTGGGCCCCTTGGGAGAGAACAGGCAGCCAAAATGAGCACCTGTCGCTGAGGGGGTGGCTGGCCTCCCCGAGCCTCCGTCCGCGTGAGCGACGCCCCTCCGGGCAGTTCTCAGGACAGGCAAGTCCTTTCACTGTCCTGCATTCAGATTCCTGATGACCTGTCTGGCAGCCTCTGCTCTAGGGGCCAGCCCGCTCCTGCCTGCCTGTGCAAGGCCCACCCCAACACACACACTCACGTGTATGTGTGCACACACCTAGGTTACCCCATCCTGTATGCAACGCACACTCTCCTGACGCTGCTGCTCGGTCGTGTTGGTTGAGTTAGCTGGTCCCTGACTGATGCCCTCGAGGTCCCTCCTCCCCTGTCCACCACCTCAGGGTGTGTCTGCCTCCACTTCCCCAGCCGGACTGAGCCCGCCACACCTAGAGCAGAAGGGACCACTTATCTAAGGGACAGGCAGACACGAAGAAAACCCACAGGAGCAAACGGCATTTCGTCATGGGCACTTTTTTGGGGGGGAGGGGAATAAAAGGTTTTCAATCATTTTAGCAAACGTAACAAAGCTCACAAATTTTATTGTACGAGTACAGCAAATAATAAAAGCATATGTTTCCGTCCCTCAGTGGGTCTGGGGTCCCCAAAAGGAAGCTGTGTGGGGTTAGTCAGGAGGGACGTGCCGGTGGACCAGTGGAGTGAGGGGGCCAGAGCCACAGGCTGATGGGCTGTGAGGTTTTGGGGGGAAGCAATGTGCAAGGACCTTCTGATTGCCCCTGGCTGTGCGCTTGAGCGGGCTGTCTTCCACCTTGCAGATCTGAGACACCCCAGCTCCAGCTCCCAGCTCAGATTCCTGCCTGAGGGGCGGGTAGGGCTCTGCACTTCCTGTCCGCCCACTCGGGCCTGAGGCCGAGCCCTGGGCACCGGGCCCACCCACACCCGGGGGCTGTTCCTATGCCCTCTCTGAGACAAACCAGAGAAGTCCTAAAATTAATAGTCACTATAGCCCTGGCTGGCGTAGCTCAGCGGATTGAATGCCGGCTGCCAACCAAAGCATTGCAGGTTCGATTCCCAGTCAGGCCACATGCCTGAGTGCAGGCCACAGCCCCCAGCACATGGATGTTTCTCTCTTTTTCTCCCTCCCTTCCCCCTCTAAAAATAAATAAAACCTTTAAAAAATAGTCACTATAAATCGGCGTTTATCTCCTAATAAATGTCTAAAAGAACTTCAGGCCCAGGAATGAAATGAGATTTCCTCCAAGAAAGAGACACAGGCTGGAAGTGGAAGTAAAGATTTATCCTTGCATCTGAGTGGTAGACCTCGCCATTTGCATATACAAAGAATTCAGCAACATTCACTGGCATTATGATCAGAGCAAGATCGAGTTATAAATGTAGTAAAAGCACGACAGTTGAAACTGAGAACATACACATTGAGATTGCACATAAATTAAACACGAGTTAGGTAAACAAAAGTATCAGTCATCAGACATTTTTTAAAAAAACCACGTGGGGGTGTCTCCAAATGCTGAGATGGACATCGGGCTCGCTTTTGAAAGTTTTTAAAAACACGTAAAACACCTCTTCCAACACGGGTGCGCATTCCTCACCAGCACGTGGAGAGTAAAGGGAGTCACACGGTGACCGAGAAAGCACGCAGATCAGAACGGCAGTCTTCCGATCGCTGTTTGGCCTTGGGGTACAACTGCATGCGGCGCGGACGGACGAGAGGGGGACTGAGGTCAGCGCGGCGCAGGCTTATGTACAGTGGACTTGGACCGAAAGGGGACAAGAGCTCCGCGTGCGGGCTGCACGGGCGGGCCTCGGGCCGGCGCGCTCACCCAGACCGCGGGCGAGCCTCGGCAGGGGCCGCCAGGCTGCGGTTACAGGGCCTCCCCGAACGGGAAGGGACTGCCCCCGCCAGGGGAGGGGGCCCGTGTCCAAGGGACGGTGGCCTCTGCTTTCACTCTAGAACTGGAAGGGCCGAACGGGGCGCCAGGACACTTGCAGTGGACACCGGGGATGGCTCAAGGGGGCGGAGACCGCACCCGCGGGGCACTCTCCCGAGGGCGCCCCGAGAAGGTCTTCGTCTCCACCCACGGGAGGCCAGGGAGGCCAGGACCGGGTGTGGGGATTCTGATGAAGGCTGGTATATTTGGACCCAAATCATGCCCTTCGACTTTGACCATGACCCCCCGAATAAACGACTAGTGGCCTTCATCGCAACCATCCAGTTGTTTCTAGGACCGGTGCGGAACGAAGGCTCCGCCGTCTCTCACCCCCTTCGGTCAGAGAAAGCCTCCGCCGGGCTCGGGAGTTTAACAGCGGAAGCAAACGGGGGCAGTGGGCGTGTCCCGCAAAGCTCCCTCGTTTCCCCCTCGGACCCAGGTGCGCACGCACCGCACGGGGAAGGCGGAAGGATCCCACTCAGCCCGCCGCGAGTGCCGGGCCCAGGGCTGCGGCCCAAAGCTGTGCTTTTGTCTTTCCACCGGGGCGTCTGCTCGGGCCCTCGGGCGGGGCTTGGGGAGAGGCAGAAGCCAGATTGCCTGGGAGCCCGTCTCCAGAACCCAGCCTAGCCCGGGGCGCACGGTGCGCACGGGCAACGAGCACAGCGCGGAAGAAACAGTGCAATCCGTCTTCTGTGGAAATGTCAAATAAGGCCTTTGTATGTCTTTTCAAAAGCAAATGATGCACCAAAAATGCACACGTGGAATGCTTTCAGTAGCTTAGACCAGGTGACTTCTGTTTTACATTGTGCTGGTCTGCTGGGTACGACGAACAGCCAGAGAAAGGTCACTGCTACTGACTTAAGCGAGTCTGCACTCGCCCCTCCCCCCCCCCGTTTTTCGCCCCCCCGCCGATCCTACCCGGCAGTCCGATCCAGCCAGCGTGCGAGGTCTCAGCAGCGTTTCCATCCAAAAATAAGTTAGCCTTTAGATGAAGGAATTCTCTTTCTTTTCTTTAATTAAATATTGAGGAGCGGGACTTTAAAAAAAAACTGTATAAATCTAGATTGCAAGATTTCTTTTCGTACAAACAGTCTGAGCTTTTACAAGAGGTTTCAGAGTACCAAAATGCCTCTGGGGAGGTCGACGGCAGCGTCGCCTGGGGTCCTGCGTTCTGCCTACCAAGCGTGTGCTCCTCGCTTCTGTGGGTGTCAGCCTCTGGGCTTTATTTGAACGTTTGGGATGGGAACTGATTGGAGGTCGAGCGCGGGGACGCCTCCCAGACGGCACGGGGCAGCTGCGGCCAGTGGGAGGGGAGTGAGAAATGCCGCGGGTTTGATTCTCAATAGGTTTCACCTGAGTCACACATACAGCGCACAGACAGCAGGTGGCGCTGTGGGCGCGCCGCTCCGGCGACTGCTTCAGCTGCTCCCAAAGCCGTGGGCGAACAGGACCACCGGCGTCTCCCGTCATCTAATCACGGGTGGCAGGGGCACAGCCTCGGGTAAATGCATATTTAAGTCTCACTATGTCATCACAAACTCCTTTGATGTGCTTTAGACCTGGACTCAGGTTGCAAGGTCTTCTCTGATCTTTCAAATGGAAAGGTAAACAAACCTCCTCTTCCGGAACTGTGTGCCTTTGAAACAAAAGCTGCCGCCCAGGGCTGTGGGAACCAGTGTTAAGAAAGTGAATTTCCAGCTGATGTCTCAGTCCCCAGCTGTTTTCTAATGGGTGTCGTGTTTAGTATTCTGCATAAGCACACCTGGCATAGTAAGATCTATAATACTTAGAGGTCCTGAGTGTGAGAAATTAAATGATATGAATCTAATGAGAAATTAAAGTATTTACTGACATTAGCAGAAATATATATATTATGGGATATTATTTGACCTTAATACATTATTCCAGTTTTTAAAGGGGCGTACTTAAGATGAAATACCTTTATAAGCGGGTGGTCTTAAAGCATAACAAAATATATACAAAGAAATTAGAAAGGGTATTAATGTCAACTATGAAATAAATTAACACGATTTTTACAAAATATACTGACCATTAAATTAAAAAATATTTTAAGGCAGGAATTTTCATTTAAAATTAGCATAATCAGAAAATATATCAATAAAATCTTGTACCACTTTGTAGCAGAATTCATACTGTTCCTGAAAAAGAAAAACAAGAGTACATTAAAATGATATTTTTAAATGATCTGAATAACTTAATCAGGGAAAGCATTCGAAAGGAAGTCTGACTATTTATGAAAATACTGTGCACCCTTATGCGTATCAGCCTCTGCTACATAATTTAGTTTGCAGGCACATGAGAACTTCCAAATGAATCTGTTTTCCCACAGCGATCGTGTCGACGGTTAGTTTCCACTCAGCGCATCTTTCCCGAAACATCCTTAGGTCCCTGAGGTCCTTACCAAGGTCTGCACCATATGCGGCCTCTGAAGCCGTAAGCTCTTCACGGCTTGGAACACGTCCAGCAGGCCCTCCGCCTTCACGCGCTCCAGGACGTTGCTCAGCGCAATGAAGGTGCCCGTTCGCCCGGCGCCCGCACTGTGGGGAGAAAGAGCCCAGCGGCGGTGACGCGCCCGCCGGTGGGGGTGACAACGGGACGGCGCCAACCCCACCCATCAGCGCGGAAGTTCGTCGGGAAGAGGATGAGAACGTGGGCTGCGAAGGATCGTTTACGCGTAGCTTAGCTTTTCACCGGGAGGCGGCGTCACACAGCTCGTAGGACGCCGCCCAAGGACCGCGGAGAGAGGTCTGGTGAGCAGGGGCACGCCCCGTCGCAGCGCGGGAGCGGCTGTAACCACGCCCCATCTTCCTGGGGAAGATCGTGGTTCCCGGAGTGGGGCCCCGGGCCAGCATCGCGCGCGGGGCGCTTGTTAGAAATGCAAACTGTCCCTGTTCAGGTCCAAGGAGAGGTAAGGCGGGCAGTCTCCAAGGCCCCTGCCCCTGCGGGGGCCTGTCCCCACAGCTGCCCTGAGGACTCCTCGCCTTTGCACCTCTGGTGCCCGACTCATTCTAAACTCCGTGTGGGCTTTAGGAGGCAGAACGGAACCCGAAGGAACTCATTTCTAGTTGATTCTAGGTCACCTGCACAAAGGTGCCTGGGAGCGAAAACGGAGCCGTGGGCGCCACCTGCTGGCCAGGCCACAAGTGTGCCTGACGTCAGTCAGGGCACCGACTCCTTTCCCAGCGCCCCGGGGAAAGGACGTGGAGCGGAGCCTCACCACCAACCAGATCTGCCTTTCACAACGGAGACACGTGCCTTGAAGTTCAGGAGCGGGTCTCTCCGAGCTGCGCTTGGAGACTTTTTTTTGACCGCTTAAAAAGCACAAGGAAATGTGTGTTCGAATCATCTCCTAGCTCCTCCCACTAATGCATTCTGCATTTATGATAAGAGGGCATGTGTGTAAAGTTAAGTGCGCCTGTGCGCAAGAGAATGTGAAAGAAAATGCAGGCTAGGGAAATACGGTCGCCGGCGGCCGTGAACTGGGTGTGGCCTGCGCGGGCCCCAGCAGGGGGCGCTCCCCCGCAGTGCGCCGGGCCGGGGTCTCACCTGCAGTGCACGGTGATGGGGTGGTTGCCCGTCTGCTGCTGCTGCTTCTGCACCGCCGCAATGAGGTCGATCATGCCTTTGCCCTCCGCGGGGATCCCGATCTCGGGCCAGCCGTGGAAGTGGAACTGGCGCACCATGCGGGTCTGCTCCTCCTGGCGGGCCTGGGGCTGGTGGGGGAGGGGGGCAGCTCAGTGGTGCTGGGTCACCTGGCCCTCTCTGCCTTGTCGAGGAAGCTCAAGTCAACACTTAGAGCTCTGCGGGGCCTTTGGCACCACCTGGCCCCCCCGAGGGCCCTGGCCAGGCTGCTGTAGGCTGCAGCCCCTCGAAGGAGGGGCCGGCGGGGTTCCTGAGAGTGGGGAGTGGGATGTCCAGAGGACGCCCCCCCCCAGCTGGAGACGAGCAGTGTGCCAGGCTAGCTCCTGGGTCGCTCTGTGGCCACCTTGAGCTCAGCCCCACGTCCCACAGACTCCCTTACCACCGCCCCCTGCCTCCAATGTCCATCCTAGGAGCAGAGCCCAGGGCCCAGTGGGGCCGGGATGGCCAGGGGCTCTGGAAAGGCTCCTGCCAGACAGCACGGGCGAGGCCCCCATGGCTTCCTCTGTCCCCTCCATTCCTCCTGGCCCCGGTCACTGTCATGTCTCCCAGGTGGGGAATGGGGGTGCCTCTCGGAGTCAGCCACCGTTCTCTCCCCCACATCTGTGTCCCCCAGCAACGAGGCAGGGGACCTTGGAGGTCTGAATCTTATAGGCGATCGGCCGCTCGTCACCACACTGAGCTCCGATGCCCACGTGGGGCTCTGGGAAGGGCGGGAGGAGCAGAGATGAGCAGGGCCCGGGGGGAGGCTGAGCGGTGCTCCGGCCACAGTTCCAGTCGCTACAGCAGCAATACCTGGCGGCAGGTGACCAGGAAGTCGCGCACGCTGATGGCCTCCGAGAGGGTATCACTCTTTATTTCGATCGTTATGTCTCCGTGAGTCACCGAGCCCTCTGCTGGCCAATACTGGTAGCACTTGTCCTTGGGGGGGTAAGAGAAGAGTTTCAGTCTCACCACAAACACCGGCAGTTGTAGCTGCGTGATGCGGCACGGCTCTCGAGCCACTTCACGTATTTCCTCTGAGCAAGAAGAGGACGCGACACGGGTCTGAGTGCCCGTGAAGGCAGAGAGACGTGTGCGTTGGGAACTTTCACACGGGACCGAGGGAGCTGGCAGGGAGGAGGGATTGTTCCCCACGGAGAGCTCGGAAACCTGCCTCTCCGTGACACTGCGCCCCCACGCAGGCTGCAGAGAATGCCCAGCCCCCCTGGAGCCGGGCAGCCGGGCAGCGGACAGCCTGCCCGACCCTCTGGGGCCGCCTGGGACCGGAACAGAAACGAACCCGGACAGGTTAGGACTTAGGGTCGCAAACAAAACCGTGAAAGCCCTGGGAGCAGAAAGGATGGTTTCATTTGGGGAGCAGAAGCATTTGACAGCTAAGACCCCAAAGGAGCTGAGCACTCGTGACGCAACAGACTGCCACGGCAGATGACGACGGATTTCACGGCCCTGCCTCAGCAGACACGAGAGACTGGAAGGCAGGAGGCTCGCAAGGAGATGGGGTGGGCGGGGTGGGCGGAGCCTCAGGCGCGCGCACACGGCCCCGGGGGCGGCCCAGGCAGCCGCTGACCTGCTCTCTCTCCTGGACCTCGGTCAGCATCACGACCGTGTGGCACTTCCACTCCCAGACCATCCTCCAGAAGTCCTCCACCGTGTGCGCCAGGGGCCCCTGGGTGGCGATGAAGTAGTCCTTCTGCCGGTAGCCCTGCAAGAGGGGGGCAGAGGTCACAGCCGGCTCCAGGTTACCCCGGCCCACGCCCCAGCAGGCCTCGCCCTTGGGCGCCCTCGAGGGGGGGCGGTCAGGATGCCCACTTCCTCTGAAAACTGACCCCTCACCCTTAGTCACCAACGCATTCCCAGGCATTCTGGGCAAGTCAGCGTCACGGCTGTGCCAAGAGCCCTGGGGGCGGGTTTGGAGGAAGTGGTTGAAGTCTCGGTTCCTCCACCCGGCCCGGGGACCTTTGGCACACAGAGACCCCAACGCAGGGGGGCCTGCGGCCTTCTCCCTGCCCGTCGCAGTGTCAGAGACGGGGGTGGGGAGACGGGGGGGCGGGGGGGAGAGCGAGAAACAGAGGGAGGAGGTGCTGGCCCACACATAGCCAGTGGTCACAGACGTAAAAAACAAATCGCTACGTATTAAAGGTGGAGTGAAAAAACAGCGAATTACTTGCTGCTGTGTCTCTCTCCTCTATTTCCCAAGTCCATTATTCATTCTTTTAAAGCAAGTCATTCTAGTGAAACAGCCCAGCCTTCCTGACTGAGGGCGAGCGGACGAGGGTCTGGGAGGGGAGGGCCCCCTCTCCCCCCACCCCCCGCACGGCGAGCCGGGGCCCCGGGACTCACGTCGATGAAGGACGCGTTGATGTAGTCCGTGTGCTCCTGGCCGCGCTTCATGGACAGGATCACGCGGTTGAAGTCGTCTGAAAGGCAGCGCGCCCCTCTAGTTAGCGCCCCGCCGCCCCGCCCTGCGGACTCGAGCTCCCGAGATGCGGCGCCTATCGGCAAAGCCGCTCGCGAGGTCAGCCCCTCGGAAGGCTGACCCTGTGAAACGGGGGGACTGCAGCTGCGCGGGGGAGGCTGCGCTCGGCCAGCGAGGCCCCCGAAACGACCCAGGCCCACTCCTGTCGTTCGCCAGGAGTGGACATGACTCCCACCAGAAGCAGAGCATCACGGATACCGTGTTGGAGCGGAGAAAGCGGGAAGGGGCCGGGGAGGCCGCCCAGAGCAGCTGGCCGGACACCTCACGGCCGTGACTCCAGAGTCCGAGGTGGGGACATCTCCGCACGGACAGCCCCCCATGCGGCTTTCTGCGCGCAGTGTGGCCTCCAGAGCAAGTCTGCGTACGGCCTTGCTGGCCTCACGGGCCGGGGGTCCCCGGGGTGGGGTGTCCGCAAGGAGGCACCCCCACTCCTCCAGGCAGGCCCCTCCCTGCTTCGCTCCTCTGACCACTGTGGCCCAGCCCTTGGCCCTCCTTCGCCCAAGGGCGGGTCGGCGTCCCGGCGCCAGCCCTGCCCCACCCCAAGGCCCTTTCCTGGAGGGTCCTAGCTGCGAGGCCTGGGCCCGGACAGCTGCTCTCCGTAGAGGGGGTGCCAGCCCTCCACCCAGGCTCCGGGGGAAGGTTCGGTGAAATGCTGAAGCAACTCCCGGCTCCCAGGAAGTCCCCTCCCACTGCTGAGCGTGTCACAAGCTGCCGGCCTGACACACAACCGCCAGGGTCACTCGCTGCTTCACTGGGGGGTGTCCTGTGACCAGCACTTGTGCCCAGCCCTTGGCACCGGTTCACAGGGGTGGGAGGCCAGCGACCGCCCAGGGACGGAAGCGGCGGGGGACTGCCCGGCCCGCCCTGCCCGCCCTGCCGGGCGCTGAGCCCCGAGGCCTGGGCTGCCTTACACGGGATGATCTGGATGACCCTGGCCTTCTTCATGTTGGCCGGCAGGTTGCCCGTCCTCATGTTCTCCTTCATGATGCGCACGTTCGTCAGTTTCTGCGGTCAGAGGGGACGCGGCCGCACGGTTGCAATAATGACGCCCCAGCTTCCCAATGCCGGGCACCCGCGTCTCGCCCAGACTTCTTCTGGGCGCACCACCCCCCGCCCCTGCCCGGCCCGGGGTGCTGCCGAGCTCCTGGAGCCCGTGCCCCCCCACCCCGTCCGAGGCAAGTCTCGGAGGGCTCCTCCGGGGTCCGCCAGCGGGGCGGCGTGGGAAGGGGGCACCCGGGGAGCCGGGGACACTCACCCGGAACTCCTCCTCCAGCCCGGCCTTGTTGAAGCGGCTGGCGGTGCCCTGCAGCGTCTGCAGGTGCTTCTCCAGGGAGGACACGTCCAGCTCTGTGTCCCCGTAGAGGTAGTGCTCCAGTAAGGCTTGGTAGATGAACGTGTACTGCGTCTGCGGAGACACGCAGGTGGCCCTGGCGTGAGCCCCGCGGCCCCGGCCACGGGGGGCTCGCGGCTCCGCGGGCGGGCGGCAAGAGTGGCACTGGTAGCCATTGACAGTGACCGCTGAGGCCTTGCATAAAGACCCCGTGGCAGCTGCGGGGCAGAGGATGGCCCCCGCCAGGCACCGTGCCCACTGGACGCCGGGCTGCAGAGGCCTCGAAGAGGCTCTGCGAGGCCCGGGCCGGGGCGAGGGGCCGGGCCGGGGCGAGGGGCCGGGCCGGGGCGAGGGGCCGGGCACTCACGTCCGTCTGCACCATCTGCGGGCGCTGGTGGCGGATCCTGGCCACGAAGTCGAAGACGTCCACCTTCTGCTCCGCCTGCATCATGTCCATCATCGCGTCGATGACGATGAAGGTGCCCGTGCGGCCCACGCCCGCGCTTGGGGACGGAGAAAGAGGCCACGTGTCCGTCACCCCCTCTCCCACCCCCCCAGAAGAGCAAAGGACAGGGCCTCAGAAGGTGCCTGCACCACCGGACAGAGGGCGGGGCACGCCTGCCCTTGACCGGGAGGCTGACAACCAATCACTGAGCTGGCGGCCCTGCTTGGGTTATGTTTGGGTTACCGAAGAGCAAGTCTATGGTGCGGCCACCAGGGGGCGCCACGATGTTAGCAAAAATGATCTAGAAACTGTCAGGAGTTCAGAGATCCTTGGAGACAGCTGCAGGGGTGAGCCTGGCGTGTGGCTGTGCAGATAATTTTTCCTCTGCGACCAAGTGCTGCCTGCTCGTTTTGACTTGTGTCATCAGCTTTTTTTTTTTTTTAAAGCTGTCACACCTCCCTGGCTGGCGTAGCTCAGTGGATTGAGCATGGGCTGCGAACCAGGTATTGCAGGTTCGATTCCCAGTCAGGGCACATGCCTGGGTTGCAGGCCACAGCCCTCAGCAACCGCACATTGATGTTTCTCTCTCTCTCTCTCTCTCTCTCTCTCTCTCTCTCTCTCTCTCTTTCACTCTCCCTTCCCTCTCTAAAAATAAATAAATAAAATCTTAAAAAAAAAAAAAGCTGTCACACCAAAGGTGGCTTTTCCAGCTTCTTCATGTGAGGCCCCAGGTCACGCCAATGGGAGTGCCCGCCACTCTCAGGCGTCCCGGCGGGGACTTGAGCTCAGGGTGCCCGAGGGGCGACTTCCTTTGGGAAGCTGCCCTCACGTGACTCCGGGTTCGGGTTTCCTCCCCTCCCAACACCTTGCTGCCGGCCCCGCCCGACTTCCCCGTCTCAGCAGACACTCCTCAGACGGTGCGCGCGCACGCCCTGCACGAGTAACCCCAGAGGCTGCGCCCACACACCTGCCGTGGCTGAGCCAGGCTCCCCTCCGGTCCCTGCAGACTGATGGTTGCCCTCCGTACGCACCCAGACTGGGGATAGCGTGCGCCTGGACGGGGGACTGAACCCGCAACCGAGGGGTGTGCCCTGACTGGGAATCGAACCTGCAACCTTCTGGGGCAGGGGGACAGTGCTCCAGCTGGCTGAGCCACACTGCCCAGGGCAGGAGAGTGACCTTCTTAACAAAAGGCCCACAGCGTCGTGAACGCACTCCCCCACTGTCCTCTGGGTGGGGGGGACAGTGCCCCTCTTTCCGGCTGGTCCCCAATACGGCGCTGGGACGGTGAAGACGCCCTCGGATGGGGCCCCCCGCCCCACGCAGAGAGCAAGAGCAGACAGGAGAGGCCCCCGGGGAATCTTATCGTCACAAAGTCAGAGAGACCCTGCAGGTGCAGAGTGGGGGGAAGACGCCCCGCCCACCGCAATGCCGAGAGGGGCCACTTGGTGCTCACAGACTACGGGTGGCCTGGGGCTCATGGGGGAGGCACGAGACCATGGGGGGAGGTGCGAGACTACGCTGAGTGGGGGAGGGGGGCCGCACTGGCACTCCAGGGACAGGTCCCGGGCCAGGAAGTCTTTCCTGGGGACCTTCCGAGAGTGCTTCTGTGCCACTGAAGGGGCGACCCCAGCAGGAGCTGCCCAGGCCCCTCCCAGGCTGTCCTTCCCGTTCCCGACCAGGGGACGGAGGAGACCGAGGGCAGACCCAGGTCCCAGCACGCCGGCCTGGCTCTCCTGGCTGCGGTTTGCTCCCTGGGCCCCCACCAGCCTCCTGTGCTCCTCCGGCAAGGCTTGGGGGCTCCTTGGGAAGTGTTGGTCTCCATCCCTGCTCCTGGGGTGACTTGGGGGACCCTGGGGGCCAAGAAGGGGAGGCCAGCGGCCAGTCCCCTTCCCACCGTCAACCTGGACCCCTGGGCTCGTGTCCGTGTTAGATGCTGGGGCCCTCCTCACGTGCCTTTGAAGCAAGGACATTGCTCCCACGGAACGAACACGCAGGCTGTGGGCTCTCTGGGCTGTGCCCAGTGTCTGTGGGCCGCTGCTCGCCCCCGCTGCCCCTCTGCCCTCCCCGGTCGGCGCCCAGTCCTCCCGAGCCGCCAGCCCGAGGCCCCGACCTACCTGCAGTGGACCACGATGGGCCCAGCGTGCGAGGGGTTGAGCGCCCTCACTTTCTTCAGGAACTTGAGCATCCCGATGGGGGTGAAAGGCACCCCGAAGTCGGGCCAGCTGGTGAAGTGCAGCTGGCACACGAGCCGCGGGGCCTTGCAGCCATCGGGCAGCTGCTGTGGAGAGGGACAGGGAGATGGGCGGATGCACAGGCATCCCCGCCCTGGCCCCCACCCCATCTGGCAGCCATGGGCCCACGGGCAGGGAGGACCCTGTCCGTGGTGACCGGGCACCCCAAGAAGGGAAGCCCCATGCCTGTGGCCCACTCTGGGCGCCCGCCGTGGCCGTGCACAAGGGCAGGGGCACAGGGCCGGCCAGCACGGGTCCCGGGACCAAGCCGGGCAGGCCCCGGGCAGCCAGCTGCATCCCGAAAGCCCGCCCAGGCCTCAGCGGCCCCGTGGGGAAGCCCACCTGCTCTGCCTGGGGTGCTGTCATTGCCCGCAGCACCCCTTCCACCCCCCAGTGCCTGAACTGGGGGGAAAAGAGGACGCCGTTGGCCCACTTGCAGGAGATGCCCCGGAACCCCCTCAGGGCCACTGGAAGGTTGTCCCCAGGGCCCACGAGCGTGCCCCAGACCACAGTGGATCTGGGTGTGCGCGCGCATGTGCACACATGTGCGAGTGTGTCTCGTGCACGCACACACACCTGCATGTGCACACCTGTTTTATCTGCGTGCCTGTATGCACATGTGTGTGTTCTGTGTGCTTGTCCATGCGCGTGCTTACGTGGTCTGTGTCTAGTGTGCATGCGTGCATGTGTGCATGTGTGCGAGTGCCCGGGAGGCAGGCACACAGGGGAATGTCAGGGCCCCTCTCCCCGTTGGGTGCTGTGGCCTCCAGAACCCTCGGACTCGGACTTCGCAGCCTGACCACACAGACCATCCACCCTTTCCTCCAGGTAACGCAACCCCACTTTTGTGGTTTTTCAGTACGGAGCCTCTCCCTTATCTACCGTGCACACACACTCCCGGGCAGCTGGGCTGCGCGCCGCCCTACACCCCTCCGGGGGTAACGTGCAGGGAAGAATGAGGAAGTGTCAGAGGTAATTTTGAAACTGTTAAAAAAAAATCCCGCCTTGTGACTCCAGTGTGTGAAGTGGCACTGTTACCAGGGGGACGGCGCCCCGGCCCCGCCCACCGCCTCGCCCCCCCCCCCCCCAGCGCCCCTGGGTTCGCCCTGGACACGCCCCCGCGGGGCTCGCCGGCGCTCACCGACTGGACGCAGAACTTGCGGACGGTGTAGTCCACCAGCGCCGTGCAGTCCTCCACGCGCACCCGGATGTGTCCGTAGGTCCAGCAGCCCTGGTCCGGCCAGTACTGGCAGCACTTCTCCTGCGAGGGGGGCAACCGGACACAGCGGGGGCCAGTGGGCGCCTGTGGTCGCCCCATCGCCGTCCCCCGCCGCCCCCGCGGGCGGGCCTCGCACACGCCAGGTTCCCACCAAAGGGCGCTCCGGGCTGGGGGAGAGCTCCGGCGAGTGTCTGCTGGTTGGCGGGGAAACCGAGGCCGCACAGAGCTGTGCGTCCCCAAACACTTCCCCGTGGGTCTGGCAGGTGGCCCTGTCCAGCTCGGCCCCTAAGTTCAGACCTGGGGGTGTCACGCTGCTCTGCCATCAAGGGCAACGAAGCCCCTCATCCCTCCGGCGAGGACGGAGCTGGTGCGGGCACCGCAGGCCTGGCGGGCCGCTGCCGAGAGCACGCTTCCTGCCCCTTCCCGCCCTCCTGGCGACAAAGGGCCCCCCACCAGCTCCCAGGGTGCAGGCCAGCCCCCCGAGCACGAGGACCCACGAAGGCAGAGGTTTTGCCTGGCACCCGTCTCTGGGAGGCAGCAGCTTCCTAACCCTCGGACGGTGCACCCTGGACACGGCCCACCCCACGGGGGTACAGCTGAGGGTCAGTCACAAGGAGTTCTAATCCTACCACCCAGAAGGCGTCTCAGTGTTTACTGGAGCCCAGCACTCGTGGGGTGACACCCACGGGACAATGTCCCCTCCCTACGCCCTAAGCCCGGGCCCTGGGTGTCTCTGAAGTGGTCCCCGGAGACGCAAACCCCCAAAGACGCTGGCGTGGGCCACTCTCGGCCCCCTGGGGCCTCCCGGGGGGGGGCCCTCCCTCCGGCCCAGGCGGTGCACACCCAGCCCCCACCCCGGGCCGGGTGTGCGATGCGGACGTGCCCTGGGCCTCCCGCCCCCACGGCGGGGGGCCCACCCTGCCCGCCTGCCAGGCCACAAGATGACGGAGCAGCCGAGTTTCACAACACGCCCCCCCAGGACGTGGTGGCCAGGGCCACTGCAGCAGAAGTGTGAGCAGCGGCGGCAGCGGAGGAAAAGGGAACTGGGTTGAGAAATGATTTAGTGTGAAACGGCGGACCGGGGGTGCAGGAGCGGGCCCGCCCTGAGTCACAGGAGCGGAAAAATCCCGAGGGAGGCTTCCGCGTGACATCACACGGAACACACGGGCGACAGCTGCTGCCGCCTGGGGCCGGGGGTGGGCTGGGGTGGGGGCGGGCTCCAGCCGGGGCCCAGCGTGTTCCACACGGGCGGATGAGCCTCCCCTCCCCCGCCCCGGCCAGGCTGCTGGGGGGGGGCCTGCCACGGCACCCGCCCCGGACACGGGCGCCCTCCAGCCCCCTGTCCCGGGGAACCCCCAGCTTCCTCCGGGGAGAGAGGACGGCCCGGGCAGGACCCTCCCCAGCTCTGTCCCAACTCCTTCAGCAGCAAAGCACAAGCCCCGCCGTCCCCACCGGAAACAGATGCGGTTGGAGGCTATTTCCTGCGCGGCCGTGCCAGTGGCTCTGGGGCCGTCTCAGCGCCTCTCGGCTGCCCCACCCCGGCGCCCGGCCGCCCACCCAAACGCCGCTGGGCCGAGGGTCCCGGGGACGGTCACCGCCGTGTCAGAGGGCTGCTCTTCCCTGAGCCTCAGGCCGGCAGCCCGGGCTGGGGACGGGCCAGCTCGCCCTCTGCCAGGGGGTGACAGAGGCGAGAGCGGCCCCTCTGGGGCCTCGTGCCAAGCTGGGCCTTCCTCTTAGCCTGCTCCCACCACTGCGGCCCGGGCCTTCCGGCTAGAACGTTCTAGAACCATCTCTCCGCCTCTCACAAGTCTCCCTGCAGTTCCCAGCCCTGCCTTCCTTCTGCAGCATGAGCTCACTTCACAAAAGACGGTCCCCAGGGGCCCCCCTGCTCCCCCGGCCTCAGCCAGCCCCGCAAGCCCCTGGCCCCGCTCTCTGCCGCATCTCTAGCCGCCCGGCCCTGGCGTGGGCACCCGAGCGGGGGGCGCAGAAGGATGCCACCCCCTGCCCCCCGTGCTTCTCCCGGGCTGGGTTTGGTAAGATTCCTTCCAGTCTCCAGGGCCTGGTGCCGGCACCACCCCGAAGGGAGCACGGCTGCTGGCACCCTGGCCACGCCCCCGGGGCCGTGGCCTCTGCCCTCCCCTCCTCCCGGCTGCAGGAGCACGATAACGCCGGTGGCTCTGCTGGGCCGGCGTCCCTCTGCCCGAAGCAAAGGCCCCGCCTGGCTGGCTCGGCCCTCCGGGTGGGCGCTACGGCCCCTGTCTCTCTCCACTGCTGTTCAGGTCACTCCTGACGGTCCGCGTTCGCCTGCTTTCCTTTCGGTGCCGGCCCCTCCCGGCCGGCTGTCAGTGGCGGGAGGCAGGTGGCCCGGGGGGAGAGGAACCTGTGTCCCTCGCTTCTATTAGGGGGTTTCAAGTCCTCACAATGCATGTTACTTTCCCAGTTAGAAACAGCCAATTAAACACATCGGAATGGTACGTCGGCGTTCGTTCAATGCGTCTTATTTCTCGTACACAGCTGTCCAGTCTAGAGGAGAGGCAGGAAGTCACTCTTATTTCTAGTCTGAGGCCCCGCGTGTCGCGTGTTCAACACGCTGTCACGTGTTCAACACGCTAACCATCAGTCGTGCCGGGGCCCGCCGGCTGGGCGCGGCCCTGGGCTGGAGGAGAAAACCCTTGCGCCCTCACTGGGTCGTCGTGCGTGACAGCGAGCTCTGTGGGCGAGACCGGGGCCGCGTCCCAGCCCCGACGCGCTCGGGGGGGGGGGGGCCGCGGGGTGGCCCCGAAAAGCTGGAGACCGAAAGTGACCACGCGGGATGCACAGAAAAGTCCCTAACGGTGACCGAGTCACCCTGGCCGGAAGTCAGCCGGTCTGTCGTCTTTTCGCGTCTAGATACCACACCCCTGGAGTGTCAGTCATGTCCCCCTTCTCCGGGGCCCCCGGGGCGCCCTGTCCCACCAGGGCACGAGACCAAGGACCCCTCGTCGTCACCTTGTCCCCCGAACGCCTCTCTGAGCGCCTCTGAGGCTGTAACGCTAACCACCAATGTGACCGTGCCCCCCAACGTGCAGAAGGTGTGTGTGTCTCCCCACGTGCTTTCCACCCCGTCCCAGATCCCAGGGGTCTCCCCGCTTGGCTGGCCCCCGCCCCCCGAACCTTCCACCAGTGGGTTTTCTGTCTCCGCCTGCGGTTCTGAAACAAGCGGCAGAGCCACCGTGCTCGGCAGCGTCGTCTCAGTTCACTGAGGTCCCGCCTCCCAGCGACGCGGCTGGCCTGGCTCAGACTCACACACACGCTCCAGGCGCTGGGCGTTTGCTGTGTGGACAGCTCCTTGGAGCACGGAATTGTTTCAAGATAAAAGTGCTCTTCAGCCGGGGGCGTTGTTTTTTTCCCTTGTGCAGCGATAAGGAGAGAAACAGAGGAGGAAGTGGCGACGCCCCTCCACACACACACACACACACACACACACACGCACGCGCGCGCGCACACACGCCCGCGCCTGCCCGCGGCGGCGGCGGCGGCAACGAGGCGGCAGCGCCCCGCTCCCCGGCCCACCTCCTTCCTCTCCCTCAGGTTCGTCAGCATGACGATGGTCGAAGCCTTCTGTTCCCAGATCATCCGCCAGAAGTCGTTCACAGTTTCCTGCTTCGGGCCTGCGAGGGCGGGGGGTGGGGGGGCTCAGTGTCAGGCTCAGGCACGGGGAGGAGACGCGAGGGTCCCAGCCCCCGCACCCTGCCTTGGGGCCCTGGCTGGCGGTCCCCCCACCCCGCACCCCCCAGCTCTGAGGCACACGAGGGCCGGCGGGGCCTGTTCACACCCCACGGAATTCCAGAGCCGGTGGCCTGGGAGGGACACACCGGTCACCCCCCGGTCACCCCACGCTCCCCCCCGCCCCCCCACCCCGGAGCTGGGCAGTCTGCAGGGAGCCTAGCCACCGCACCCGGACAGGTGAATTCACGGGCGGCAACGGCCACTAAGACGAGGGGGGGGCGGCCGCTGCGTGTCCGAGGGGCTTGCGGCCACCCCGTGTTGGTGGGTCTCAGCCCCCACTCCAGCAGCTGACCCAGACTGGGCGTGCGTGCGTGTGAGTGTGAATGTGTGTGTGAGTGCACGAGGGTGCGAGCTGAGGAAGTAACACGGGGGAGCTTACCTTGAGCTGCTATGAATTTATTCTTCTCTTTGTAACCCTGGGGAAATAAAATCGGGTTTATAATTTTCCGAACTTCTCCCTGCTGAGGAAGACCCTTTCACTGTCGTGAGGAAAGCAAAACGTAGTCGTGACGCAGCAGCGGGAAAACTCGCACAGAAAAGTAAGAACCAGAATTCGCCAGGAATTCCAGAAATAGCAGAAGCTGCTTCTGTGTGTCCCTCCAGCCTCTTTCTCCGGGGACGCCTTCTGAGACGCACCCCCGGGCGGACGCACGGGCGTGCACGCGTCTGTAATTGGTGCATGTGCACAACGTCTCCTACGGTGCATTGCTGTGCTAGTTCAATCGTTCACGCTCCGGGTCTTTCAAGGGCCAGTTGACATGGATGCGTCCTGACCCACTGGGTGTGGTTTCCCCACACTTTGTTTACCCGGTCCCTCCTGCTCTGCGTTGTCGGTCATACAAACGCAGCTGTGGCGAACATTGTGGGGGCTTGTGTTTCTAGAAAGGGAACCCCAGGACGCAGACACTAACAGGGAGGGGGTGGGTGCCGCCCCGCCGTCTGCACTGTGGCCAGACCGCCCGGCGCGGCGCGGCCGTGCTAGTTCCGACAGTTCCCACTGCTGGAGCCAGACCCCCAAGTGCCCGCGGGTCCGCACTCAGCCCCCAAACGCTGCCGGCGTGTTTGTCACGCTGGGCCGGGGACAGGGAGGAGGGGACTCACATCTATGTAGGAGGCGTTGATGTAGTCTGAACAGGGCGCTCCGTCCACTTGGCTCAAAACCACCCTGGTGTGGTCGTCTGTTTGGGAAGAGCAATGTGGCATCAGGACAAGTGGGTCGTCGTGGCTGCCACACACACGTCCACCTGCAGCGCTGCACCCCGCCGAGGGACGGCGGGGCTGGGTCCCCCCGGCGGGGCCGGAGGGACACCGGCAGAGGCGAGAAGTTCGGCGTCCAGCGGGGGCTGCCCCCCCGCCACCCGGACACCCGCCGGCACAGTGGCGGCCGACTTCTGGGAGCCCGTGCAGGCCCCAGTGCTGACCAGTGCAGATGCGCTCAGGGGGCCCACGGCTTGGGCTCTCCGGGGCTCTCCGGGGGCGGGGGATCACTGCTGGACACTCGGACACTGGGGCCTGGGGCTTGGGGCTGCAGCCCCCAGTTCTCATCCCTCTGGTCCACCTCAGAGAGGGTGGTGCGCAGGACACGCAGACTCCCGGGCTGGACCGGCCACCTGCCCAGGAGATGCCGGCCCGGGGACACGCAGCTGCCCAGAGTGGGAGGTGCTGTGGGGGGTGTGCGAGGTGTGTGCGCTGTGAGTGGGGGTGAGAGTGTGTAGTGTGCGTGTGTACGCACACGTGGGGAGGCTCCCCCAGCCCCGTTACGGCGTCGGTGGGTCCTTGTCTCTCTGCCTCCAGGGGCCGCGCCCTCCACAAGGAACATCACACGCCGCAGCTGCGTCGGCGCCGAGGGCGGACGGGGGTCAGCCGGGCTGCCCGCCGACCACGTGTGTTTTCGGACTCGGGGAGAAATCAGACGTTTCTCGGGGCCCCTGACAGCGCTGCGTCCCGGCCCGGGGCTGGGTGCCCTGCGGTGGCTGGCATCCCCAGGAGCGGGCACCCCGAGGTGCCCAGCCAGGCCGGGCCGAGGGAAGCTGTCTTCGGGGGGGTCACCACTGCACCAGCCCGGGCTGGGCGCACAGTGGGTGCTTTGTGTGCACCTGCAGCACTGATCAGTGATTCTGCACCTCCATCCCTGCTCAGTCCCCTCCTCGTGGGCATGGGACTGACGCAGGGACTAACCCTAACCCTAACCCTAACCCTAACCCTGATGTCACTGAAGGGGTGCACGTGGGACAGGGGGGTCTGGGCATCGTATCGTCGGACCAGCTGCGTCCTGCCGCTCACAGAGGACAGGCCGGTGCAGTCCTCGGGGACCGTGACGGCCCACATGGGGTGGTGGAGCGGGGGGGGCCAAACCCCAAACCACCAGCCTACGCGGACTGGACCGTGAGACCCCGCGCTCAGGGGCTGACCGCCCGGAGGCAGAACGTGGGCTCAGAGCCGGCTAAAATGAGTCAGAAGGATCACACCTTGAGGACAGCTACAGAAAGCAGAAGGGAAAAAACAGACTTCTGATTGGGCCTAGACTCTGGCAGCGTCTAAGCGCTTCCTGTCTTTTTACTCTAAAAAGTCACACTTCACTTTCAAAGCATTATTTCCTAAATCTACCAGCTGTGGGCGTTTTCCCTGAAAATGGGATCCTCTCGCCTCCCCGCGGCCCTGCCCCGGGACACACCAGCCTCGGAGTCTTGACTTCTGTCCTCGGAACTTGGGGTAGGGGGCACATCCCTGGCTGGGCTCCCTGCCCCCGGGGGGGGGGTCAGCTTGTAAACCTGGCAAATGTGTAGCCAGTCTGAGTTTGGGGGGACTGGGGGAGGCCAGGAAGGTGCCCGGGGAGGTGGGAGTTGGGCCCTGGCCCCTCTTCCTGCCTGTGGACCTGAACCCACCCCGAGTCAGAGCAGGGTCTCTCCGTCCCCTGCACAGTGTCCCCTGACCCAGCTCACCGCTGTCCCGGCCCCCAGTGGGCCCAGGGCGTCTCTGGCCAACCTCAGAGAAGCCAGACACCCCCTCGGTCAGCCTGTGTTCTGCAGATGCCGAACGCCAGGGGTCCCCCAGTGGGCCATCTCCAGGGCACATCCCAGTGCCTCCAGGTCACCATTCCGTCAACCCACCATCCCGCCCACGTAAAACACGTCACATCCTGGCACAGTCCCCTAGGTGTTGATGACATGACCCCTGGCACCCTCGGTTTTCCCTGGCGGGGGGCTGCGGGGCTGGGGGGGGCCAAGGCAGGACCCTCCCTCCCCCTGGTGGGGAGAGAGGACTTGTGGGGCAGGGGGGTGTCAGAGGAGCCTGTCCTGTCCCCTGTCTCACTTCAGACCCCCAGTAAAGGCCGACCTCCCTCCGCGGTGCAAGCTGGAGGACTGCAGGAGCCCCGCCCTGCTGCCCCTGGCCGGTGGCCCTCAGGGACAGGGCGCCCGGCCCTGGGAGGAGGCGGGGGTGGGCAGGGTGCAGGTAGTGCCCACGGCTGGCCATTTGTTCCGCTCCCATCGGAGGTCCACAAAACTGCTCTTCATGGAGAAAGCGTTTGCGGGTTGGGAAACGGGGGTCAGGGGCCCAGCAAAGCGCCCGGCCCCGAGGACAGCCCTGGCCCGTCCCTTCATTCTGCAGACTGACGTGTGGCCGAAACTCACTGACTGAACTGAGGAAGATGGCCACTGACTCCCAAACACCCCAAAGACCCCCAACCTCCTTCCGGGTCCCCCCCAGACAATGCAGCCCGCCCCCACCTCCCCCTCTTCTCCGTGGCCCACACGCAGCCCGGCAGCAAAGCTGCTTGGTGCCGTCTGCCAGCGCCCCTCACAGCTCAGCCACAGGGCCACGGGGCCACCTGGTCCCTCTCCCGCGGGGCTCCCGGGCCTCCCCTACACCCGCGGTGGGATGGGACACAGGTGCTTCGATGCCCCAGTTTCCCTGGATCGGAGGGCCGGGGGCTCTGCCAGACCTCACGTGAACTGGACGCACGAGCAGTGTCAGGGCCCGAGAACCCAGAGACCGCACGGACCGGGAGGCCCGCGGCCTCTAGGGCGGACTCCCTCCTCACCCTGCGAACGCACCCGGGAGGCCCGCTGGAGCTGGCTCGCAGGAGGGGTCCGCCGTCCCACGGACGGAGCGAGCGCCCACCCGAGGACGGGGGCCTCGGGCTCAGGGCGCAGGCCTGGCCGCAGCGGACTCCTGGAGGCCGCCATGCCGTTAGCCCGCGGGCAGAGCCGGCAGGGGCCGGGCAGGGGGGTCCAGGCCGAAAGAAGGACGGCGCAACCGTCCCGGGCCGGCTCTCACAAAGGCCGCATGGAACTCGGGGTTCGCCTGGGCAGCGAGGCCGCTACGAAGGCCACCGCAGGGCCACAGCCCAGGCAGTGACGCCCTGGCCACACCTGCCAGCCCCCGGCCCTGCAGCTCCTCGAGCCCGCACTCTCCTGCCCGTGGCAGCCGTGAGCTAGCGGTTGCGGTTCAAGTCGGGCTTACCGGAAAGGTCCCACAACGTAGACAAAGGCCCACGGGTTTCTTGTTTGTCATTTCTGCCCTTGGTCCAGGGGACGCACTGCTGGTGGCCATGGGCACTGAGTCCAAGACCAGGAGACGCCCAGGGCCACCAGGCGCCCTGGCTGGGGCTCAGGACTGGGTGCAGTGCGGGCGGCCCCCGCTGGGCCCCGGGCAGCCCGGGTCTGCGTTAAGCACGGGCTCAGCGGCCGGAGCCTCCCCAGCACAGGCCGCCCGGATGGGTGCCGAGACGCCAGCGGCGGAGGCCGTGCTGATGGGGCTCCGGTCTCCGGGCGCTCGGACAGACACCGCCCGTCCCCGGGGCAGCAAGGGAATTCCGAGTTTCATCGAAACGCCCCCAACCATGCAAAAAAAGTAAAATCTTACTGGGAAGGATGTTGGGATATCTGTTTTTTTCTCTGTTTTCTTCTTTATTGGCCTGCTCGAAAGTTCCTTGCATGTGTCCGGACGGCAGCGACTGGAAGAAAACGCAGAGTTAGCGCGACACGTGACGCCCGCCAGCTCCTGGCACCTCATCAACGGTGACAAACCGCTAGTGGGCAGTCATAGCAAATGCAGCACACCGACGCAATGGCTTCATCACGGAACTTGATGCTTCATGACCAACTTGTCTGTAAGCCTAAAACTGCTCTAAAAATAGTCCATCAAAAATAATAAATTACCTGGCTGGCGTAGCTCAGTGGATTGAGCGTGGGCTGCGAACCAAAGTGTTGCAGGTTCGATTCCCAGTCAGGGCACATGCCTGGGTTGCAGGCCACGGCCCCCAGCAACCGCACATGGATGTTTCTCTCTCTCTCTCTCTCTCTCTCCCCCTCCCTTCCCTCTCTAAAAGTGGATAAATAAATCTTTAAAATAATAATAATAATAATAATAAGTTAAAAGGAAGAAAAGCCCGAGAGGCCTCAGTCTTCCTCCCCAGGTGCGGCGGCCGCAGTGCGGTGGCTGGGGTGGCGGGCGGGATCTCATCTCCGTGGCGAGGAGGGCCCTGGCTCAGACTCCAGCAGCCCAGCCCGGCATCTGCCCCAGATGGAGATGGAGTGACGACACCCGCTCCGTGGGCGGCACGGAATGTCCCTCGGGGTGACAAAAACAAAGTGCCCCGGGCACCTAACACGCACCGGATTCCGAGCCGGGCAACGCCCGCCACCCACTGCCCGGGGCAGCCCCGTGCTCTGTCCCGCCCGCAGCCTGCCGGGGCCTCCTGTCGCCTGGGCTTGGGGGGAGTGGGCAGCCGGGGCAGCTCGGGAGGGCCAGGTGTGCCTGCAGGGCGCTCGCAGCAGCTGGTCCGTGTCACCTGTGAGTCAGTGCCCAGCTATGTCATGGCTGAGAGGGCTGGTTTGTGTGCGGAGCGGAGATGTCGTTGCCGTGAACGTTCCTGTGAGCCGGAGCGTGCTCCCCGTGTGGGCAGACGGCGGCAGACTCAGGAAAACAGACCAGGGGCCCGGCGGGGGCTGTCCCACACGCCCAGGGGACGGTCCTGGCTTGGGCATCGTGCCGGGGCCCCTCCCGGTGGCGCCTGCCCTGTGCCTTTCTCGGCCGTATCATCGGGTCGGGCCCCGCGGCGGCTGGGGCAGCAGCTCTCGCAAGAGCCTGGGTGGAGAGGGCATTTTCTCGGCCCAGAGGGCGTGCCCCTAAGAGATCTGATCTGGAGCCCGCACAGACTTGGCCAGGACCGCGCTCTGCCCCCTCGGGACACTGACGGTGGGACCGGAAGTCATGGAAGGCGTCCTAAAACACAGCCGCTCCAGCTCCCGCTGCGCACACCGGGCCCAGCTGGGCACACACCTCGCCCATTTCACAGCAAAACCCTCCAGGCACAGGGAGCTCCCTCCTTCCCAGATGAGGAGACTGAGGCGGAGATTCAGGGAGTCGCCCCAGCCCTCGGGGCTGGCAGGAGGCAGCCCGGGTAGGAGCTCCGGCAGGCTGCTGCCCACACCCACCAGGCTGACCCTGAGGACCCGGCGCCCTGCACCCTCTGCTCCGCTCAGCAGCACCCACACGCCCAGACACTGGGACCCACCTCCGTGACGCTCAGCAGTCTCCCTTGCACAGCTCTCGGGAGAGAAGCTCAGGCAGTGGGCAAGACAAGAGGGGCCTTGGGGTCAGGGCCCACACTAAGCCTGTCCCTCTGCGGACCCAAGGGGGGGCTGGTCCCGGAGGCTCTGCGGCTCTTCGCGGAGGAACAAGGCACAGATGGGGCTCAGGCCACGGCTGTCCACCCCTCGAGAGGACAGCAAGTGGGGGCCCACAGAGTATCCTTGTAAGCAGCTCGTCCAGGGTCCCCTGGAGCCAGGACCAGGGTCCATGCCACTAGGCTCACGTCCAGCACGGTCCCCTCTGCCCTATCTCCATGTGCCCTTGGCTGCACGGAGGGGCTCCCGCAGTGCCCGAGGGCAGGGGTGAGGCCGGGTGGGGGCCAGGGCAGTGAGGCCCCTGTCTGGGGAGCAAACTCAAAAGGGGCCTCCCCAAGGCCTTGGGACTGAAAATAAAATAATAGGTGAGTGTAATGTTTAAAAAAATAAAAATGAGTGCCCCAAATCCATAGTGGCCACAATGTCAGACTCTGCAGCCAGGGCTCGATCAGCGAGTGAGTGGAGACGAGTCTCGCGGGAGCCCGGAGCGGCGGGAGCCACCGGTCGGCGCCGCCCACTGCTGTTCGCACACTGCGGCTTCGTCCTGCGTGGACTGCTCACACTCGTTTGGCTACTTTAAACCGTCGCACTGGAACATTGGTTATCCGGATGACTCTGTGTTTCAGTGTTAAATTCTGCAGCTGCGGTGAGAGCCTCACCTGCCGGGCCCTCCTCCTGGCCCCGCTCCCTGCCCCTCGGGGGCTGCTGCGCGCACTTGAGACGCGGCGGTGGGGCCGGCGGGCGGGGGCTCAGGGCCCTGCACTGGCCTGGACGGGGACAGACGTCGCCAGGGGAAATGGGACAAAAAGGGGGGGGGGAGTCTTGTCACTAGGAACTCGGAGAGCTGTCTCGAGAACGCATCACTGACTCCTCCTGTCAGCCCTTGAGACGGAGAAAACAGGACTGCTCGGAGATGTCTTTCACTGTGACCTACTTCCTCCAAAAAGGGGACACTTTGGAAACCGCTACAAGGACGCATGACAGAGGCAGACGAGACCTGCGCTAGGGAACAAGCGAAGTCCATTTAAGCGTGCTGTTGGGTTCCCGTGCCCTCCTGGCGGCGTCTGTGCGAAAAGGCACGCGCGTGCCGCGGGAGGCACGCCCTCTCTGGTCCCTGGCTGCGGCGGCTGCAGAACTCTCTGCCCCGGACGGGGTCCCCCGGCTCAGCCGCACGTCGGAGCTCGGGGGTCACCCAGGCAGGCGCCCGCCCAGCCCCCGCACTGGGGAGGGAGGGAGGGCACTGATGGACAGATGGCCCGGGCCGGGGCCCAGCAGGTGGAGCCCGGGCGAGGGAGCGCCCCGCTGGGGACGCATCCCAGCTCCTGCTCCATGGGCCGCCTGCGGCCACCTCCGCATGTGGGAGATGCGGCCACAAAACCCAAGGGACCGACACCGAGGGGCAAACTGCAGGACGACACTTTCCAATGCCCGTCTCTGCCTCTGCCTGTCTGTCCGTCCCTCCATCTGACTCGCAATCACAGGACGTTTGGTTAGAAATTAACAATGCCGGGGAGGCGTCCTTGACGCGTCTGCGTTTCTGGCGGACAGTCGGTTGCATCACGTGGCTACCACAGGGACTGGGCAGGATGGTGAAACCCGCCTCGGCCGCTGCCACGGCCAAGTTCGAGGGGGGATGTCATCCCAGCAGGGGCCGCCGGTGAAAACCAGCAGGGACTCAGGCTGCTCAGACTCAGACAGACACCAAAGAGCGGTCAGCGCAGGGCCTGTGTCCCCGGAGGCGGCCCCCGCCCCATGCTGACTTGACCTTGGGATGGTGGCCCAGAGGAGGCGCAGCTCCTACCACAACGCGGTTCCCCGGGCTGTCGGGAGCTCCGTGGCTTTCCGTGAGACACGGTCACACTGTGGTCCCTCGGGACTGGTCTCCCATGTCATCGAGACCACGGTGTCTCTGTCCCACTGGGCCCCAGGGCATGGAGAACCTTTGGGGTGTGTGTGTGGAAGGGGACTTCACGAACGCCTCAGCCCACTGTCCCGTCTCCTGCGTCAGGAAGGAGCGCCGGTGGGGGGCACCGCAGCCGGAACGCGGCTTCCCGGACCCCCGTTCTGGGGGCTCACAGTGGAGGTGGGACTCCTGAGCCTTTGACATATTAACCTCAACCCTAACGCCCTGCGTGCATCCCGGGCCCCGGCCGCGGGACGGGAGGGCAGAGGGGCCGCGCCAACTCACGTTGAACTCCTCCCGGAACCTCTTGCACTCGTCGGCTGACCGGACCCGGATCTCCTCCTCCAGCTGCCCCACGGGGATGGGGAAGTACTTCTGCGGCCCCGACGGGGACCTGCTGAGGAGCATCACCCTCTGCTGCTCTGCGGGGTCGAGAGAAACGGGAGGGCGGGTTGGCCGCGCTCCTGGGTGGGTGGTCCAGGAGCCAGACCGACCTACAACAGCCCTGGAGAAATGACCGCCAGAGGGGGTGACAGTCTCCCCTCTGGTCACGCAGCCTGAGCAACGGGAGGCAGAGAAATGTGCCTTTTGGCGCGGCCGCATCGGCTGTGCCTCTGTGAAGGACGGGGGTCCCTGCGGCAGTGCCACCTGCTCTCACCCACCGCGGACGCCGCAGCCCAGAAGGCGGAGGCCGCCTCTGACCGCGGCTTGTCCACCCGGGCTGGAACGGGAGGACCCTCGCTCAGGTGTGCGGGCGTGCGCTGGGGACTCAGCTGGCACGCAGGCCCCCTCAGTCTTGTGTTGTTTGCAGCAAACAGCCCCGGTCGCTGGAACCCCAGGAGCTCCCAGCGACAACCACCCTCGATTTGGGTTTTGGCGTTTCGGGGGGAGCGGTGGGCGGGCGAGGCTGGGACCGTGGGAAAGGAGAGGGGCCACGGGCCTGCTGGCGAGTTCCCAGACCAGGTGCACCCCCAGTTCGGAGTGAGACAAGGGGAGACAGCGCTGGGGCGTGCTTCTCCTGCTGCGGGCCCTGCCCCACCAGGCCCATCCTGGCCAAAGGCCCGTCCTTCCCCGGGAACTGCTCTGAAGCGCAGCCAGCAGCCGCCCCGGGGCCCTTTCCTACAACACGCTGAGGCACCGAAGGAGGAGGAGCTTCCAGCCCCACCGGGTACACCCTCCCCCCTGCCCCCGGGGACTGGCGGGGAGGTGGCCCCGGAGGCCGTATTGTCACCCACCCGAGGGTCAGGGCCCCAGGCACAGAAGTCAGACCACAGTCCTTCCCTCGCAACCGTCCACTGTTGTGGATGTCCCCGCTGTTATCTTGGGGTCACTTGGCCACCTGCTCTGAGGCCCTCTGATGGTGCGTTTGCTCCCAAAACTACAGAGCCCCGGGCAGCCAGCGGGCCGAAGGACGCTGTCACCACTGGCAGGGACCAGAGTTTCACAGCGTCTGCCTCACCACCTTTCTCGGGCCCCTCGGGGTGCGGGGAGAAGAGCAGTGCGCCTGTGCGTGAGTGACGGTGCCAGGTCGTCACGGCACTCGGGACCGCAGGGGGGCTGGGAATGATACCTCCAGCAGACCGGACCCTCCCGGCCAAACACCCCGGGGCTGGGCCCTAAGCCGGCGGGTTTCTGGGGAGCCCCTGAGGGCGCTGGACCAGGAACCCCCGGTCTCATCTCAGACTGGCTGAGAAGTGCACGTCACAGCCCCGTGAAACAGCAGGATGTGAACGGCGTCTCAGGAAAGCCACAAACGGACACGTTTCACACGTCTGTTTCACGCCGGAGAGGAAAGGAGGGGAGTCTGGACACGGCGCCGATCCGGGGTGGCCGCGCCAGCCCCTCGGGCGGGGGCAGCGGGGCCCGAGGTGGCGGCCCCCCCGGAGGGGCGCGGCCGGACCTGCCGGCGTGCGTACCTTGCTCCTCCAGGATCCCGTTGGGCATCTTCTTGTCGTTGGCGCTGACCGTGGCCTTCCTGTGCTTCCTGAACCTGAGAGACAGACGCGTTAGGTGCTGGCACGGGCCCCCCCCGAGCCCGGAGCCCCGGGGGGCGGCGGCACCCACCAGGTGAGCCGGGAGAAGCTGTTCCTGCTGCTCATGGCTGAGCCGCTGCTGCCCGTGTCCCTCTGCCCCTCGGCCCGCCGCCCTCTGCCACTGGGCCCCACGCCCCGCCGTCATCACAGCCCGTGGGTGCTCATTTCCTCCTCCGCGCCGGCGGGCAAGTCGGCGCAGGACACTCCTACCTGAAGAAGTAGGCGGCCAGCAGCAGGAAGAGGAGGAGCAGCAGCAGCGGCAGCAGCAGCCAGGCCAGCAGGGGCTGGGGGCCGGCGGCGGGCGGGCCTGGGGGTGGAAGCGGGGGCCCCGTCACGACCCCACCCGAGTCTGGGGCGGTGGGGAGGGGCGTCTGGGCAGGGGAGGCTCCCAGCACCAGACTGCACTCGGGAGTTTGGGAAGTGCCCCCCCCCCAGGAGCCGTTCTTCCCAGGCACCAGGACCCCACTTTACAGTTTGCTGAGGGGGCTCCCCTCCCCCCCACAGCCACACCCCACAGCGTGTGAAGTGGTCTGCCCCACCCGCCCTTCTTCTTCCCGGACCCCACTGCACGGTCCACAAAGCCCCTCCCCCATCAGCCTTTCTTCCTGGGCACTAGCCCACCGTCCTTGTCCGTCGTGGCCACAGTCCCCTCCCCACTAACGAGGGGCGTGTGGACACCAAGGAGAAAACTGGAGCGGAGGAGCCAGGGACCTGACTTGTCCCAGGTCCCCTGGAGGAGGGGCAGTGACCGCATGACACGGAGCCCCCCTGTTTGTCAGGGTTCCCAAGACACCCATCTCTCCCCCTAATGGGGAGGTAGAGGAGGGTGAGGGTGCAGGACATGCTGGGGAGCTCCCAGGGCCCCCGGGGGGACCTCAGGGTGTGGGGGACCACACCGGCCCTGGGGCGGGTCAGAGGCCGCAGCCCCCGGGACCTGGCTCCCCGAGCCAGGAGCTGCGGTCCCACCTGCCCCGGGGAACGCTGGCCCCCGAGGACCACCCTCGTCCTTCCTGCCTCTGCCCTTCGTGCCAGCCAGGCGACCTTCCTCAGCCAGAAGGTGCCCCATCCCTGGATGCCGTGTAGCCACCCTGTGGCTGCCAGGACCTGCCCCACAAGCCCAAACTCCAAGGGACTCTGGTGGCTGGATGGCCGGCTTCGGTCCGCCACCCCCAGCCCGTCACATTGTCCCCTCCCCGCCAAAATGTTCCTGCTCTCCAAGAAACACCTCAGAGGCCCCTTCCTCCAGGAAGCCCACTCGGCTTCCCTCAGGTGGGTCCCAGCAGGGCCTCTGAGCAAAGGCTGTGTCTCCTGTAGTGAAGGACCCCGGGGTGACAGCCTCAGCTTGCACTCCAGGGGAGCCCCCCAGAGGCGGCCCTGGGGTGCTCGCACGTGGGGTTCACAGAAACACCCAGCCCGGCCCTGAGCCCGGCAGGGGCTCCCCGGCCCTGCAGTTACCTCGCACCCCCTCCCTGTGAACCCTAAAGGTCATGACCTGCCTCTCTCCCCTGGGAGCAGGTCACCCAACCCTCTGCGCCCTGGCGCCCTGCAAGCAGTCAATGTGTATGTCTCTAATAAATGCCAGAATTTTCCTGACTTGAGTGACCGTCAGATGCAGCAGCACAGCACACTGAGGACCCTTGGTCTGTGGACCGCCTCCAACACCCTCACTAGGGAAGTGCCAATGCCGCCCCCTGCTGGCTAGTGGTGCTCACAGGCCCTGCTGCAGCTCAGGGCCAGGGTGGTGCCAGGCTGGGGCCTGAGAGCGCCTGCCCAGGCTCCCCTGCACCCCCTGAGGCAGGGCTCCCCCGGGGAACCCACCTGGCCCGAGGCTTCCACACCTGCAGCTCTGCGAGCACCCTCCCCGCCTGCCGGGGCCGTGCAGACAGCCCGGGCCCAGGCTGCCGGGGAGAGGCCTGACACCGAGGGGCGGAGCTGGCCCAGGCCTGGGGAGGATGTGGCTGCGCTGCACCCAGGACCGGGCTCCGTCTCCGCCCGGCGCTGCGGCCACAGAGCCGGAAGGGCGCCCCTTCCTTTTGCCGCTGCGGACATGCCCACTTCTGCATCACACAGGGTCGGGCTGCCGCCCAGCCTCCGCCTGCCAGTGCCTGACCGGCCGGATCTCGGGTCTGAGGGCTGGCGGCCCCGGCTGGGAATGCAGGCCTGCCCGGGAGCGTCAGGGGGGCGCCTGGACCGCAGACTGTCTGTCCACCCTGGGGGCCTCTGTCAGCGGGCTTCGGGGTCCAGCCTCCCCGCTCAGGCCGCCTGCAGACAGGCCGCGCTCACCGGTGCGGGGAGTCCCGAGCACATGCCCCGGGACAGGGCGGGGTGAGCCCAGGACCTCCTCAGACAGGGCTGTGCCTGCGACAGGGGCAACGGGTCACAGGGGCAGATGGGTCGCCCCACTGGGGTTTCTGCCCTTTGCCAGCAGCTGCCTCTGTTTTGGAGGGCAGAGGCCAGGCAGGCACGCCGCGGGTGCAGGGGAGGCCGGGTGAGGAACCCAGGTGTCCGCCCTGTCTGCGGGGCGGCCGCCTCTCCGCCCCAGTCCCCAGGCCAGGCGGACGGTGGGCCCAGAGTGCCTGCTCCTCCCAGTTTGGCAAAAGGAGGAATCCACGTTCTTACATAAAGTTATCTAATCTTTAACTATCCGTTAGTAATTCAACCTAAAGACAATTTTGAAAACACCATGTGGGCCAGAAAAAAACCTCGGGAGCCCAGGCCGTGGCCCTGGACACCGGTTTGCTCCAGAGAGGCATGGGGTGGGTCTCAGGGGCAATCCGGAAGCCACACTCTCTCATTTCACACGGTGGGGCTCCGCCTGTGGGGGAGGGGCGCCCAGACCGTCACCTGGGCCAGCCTTCTCCCCAGGGGTGCTCCCAGTCAAGTGTGTGTGAGGTTCACACACATTTTGTGCACACACACACACTGCAAAGCCCACCACTTACATAGGTTCTGGCCCTGGAAACTGAAGTTATGGGTTTGAGTGTGAGTTTCAACCTTCCTCATCTCATGGCACACATAAGCTAGTTACAAACATTCTGTGGCACACCAAGACACAGGTTCCCGCAGAAATAACGCCATGGAGTGTGAGGGGTGGGGTACGGGAATGTCTCGCCCGAGGTGGACAGCAATTTTGAACGTTCCGCCTAAAATGTCCCACGGCGTGCTTCAGTGTGACATTGTTATGTTACAGAATTCCATGCTGATGATTTTGAAATAAAAGATTTTTATGTAATAAAAAAGAAGCGTTACTGGTGCCGGACTCTGTATGTATTTTTTGCTGATCTGACAAAAAAGGTATACTTTTTATTGTTTTACAAAAAATATTAATAGTAATTACCTACGCTTTTTGCTCCAAAGGGACTTCTTAAAAAATCAGGTGTCTATAAGTGTATATAAGGATTTCTAATACCAAGAATTAACCAGTCAGGTGCAATGCGACTGACCAATTGGATGTAACTCTATTATGTTACCTATACATTTATGGTTCAAGACAGGGCGTTCGTACAGGCCGGACGGCCACCGCCGTGTTGGCTGCTGTCATTCTCTAACTTGACAGTGTAAGGGAAAAGAGGTCAGTGTCCCTGACCAAGTAGTCAGCTATTGCGTGTTTCAAAACTCCTGCAGCGAGGGCGCTGCACATCGCGGCCTCAGGCCACGCACCTGCGCAGGGAGGCCCTGGGGGAGGGGCTGTGGGCTGGCGGGGACCGCCCCTTGCTTGGCTCCTCCCCCAGAGCAGCTGCGCGTGAGGCCTCGCGGAAGCAGCCGCTGGGTGTCCTTCTCTGTCTCTGTGTCGTGTTGACACTGTTTTTCTGGAGAACGCTGATTGACGTTTAAAAGGGGAGAGAATAGAATGCTGAGCCCCACGGACCTCCCACGGGCCGTTCTTGGTGGGCCCAGGCCACGCGCCTTCCTCCGTAGCCCCGCCCACCGCCTGCCCCCCACTCGCTGTCTCCAGCCGCTCCTAGGCGTCCTGTCCCATCACTTGTAAATAGTTCCAGGAGTGCGCGACTCTAAAGGCGAGGACTCTTATTTTAAAACACCAACCTAACCCCTAACCCAACAGCTTGTCTGAAAATCTCAACGATAGTTTCTGCATTCATCTCAACTGCTACGTCCATGTCGAAACGTCCCAGGCTGGCTGCAGTGTTCGCTCATGGCTGGGCTGCGCGGAGGGGTTCCCGCGTGGGGTCTCCCGCTCCCCACTGCGGCGGGGGCCAAGCCTCCGCGCGGGGTTCCGTCCGCCGCCTCCTGTGCGCGGAGCTTGCTGCAGCGAACCGGGAACGGCCGGCTTTCCCGGCCCGCCTGTCTACTTGGGCGGCAAACGTTCAAAGCCAACCACACCTTCCTCCGCCCCCTCAGCCGCGCTGCCACCCTGAAGGCCCCGTGACCCCTGGGCCCAGGGGGCGGCCGGGGCGGCTGGGAGGGGGCAGTGGGTCCTTACCCGAGGTCGTGGAGGTCCAGTTGCTGTCCACTGGGGTGGTCTCGTTGACGGCGAACGCCCTGGCCAGCGGCAAGCTAACACCTGCCAGCAGGAGCGGGCCGAAGGGCTCCATGGCGAACCTGGAAGAGGCAGGACAGGCTCAGGGGACGCGCCCTCCCCGAGGTGGGCGCGCACCGCGCGGCAGACGTGGGGCGGCAGTGGGGTGCCTGGGGAGCGCTGCTCAGCCCCTCCGAGTGTGGGAGAGGGGCCCCCGCACCACGGAGGGCACAGCCAGCGCTGCGCCTTGGGGCACACCGGGCCCGAGGCCCCCGGAAGCGCCCCCAGGCTCCACAAGTCCCAGACATTGCCACTGATTTCCCTCTGTGCCTGTTCAGGGGGAGGGATGGTGAGGGGGGATCGCATGGTGGGTGGGGGAGGCAAACAGGAGCATGGAGGGGCCCGGGGCCCAGGGGACGGCGGGCGGGGGGAGGGGAGAAACTCCGAAAACACCGCAACATCCAGGATTCTGAGAGCAGTCTCAAAGACCCAGGGTCCACATCCTTCTCGATTCCGCGTGACAACCACCTGTCACCAGTTGAGGGCACGGGTTGAGCCCACCGTGACCCTGGGTCTCCCAGCGTCTGGGAGCAGGCACGGTATGGGCTTCTCACAGCCCAGAGAAGGGTCAGCCCCAGGAGGAACCTCGGGCTCAGGAAGGAGCTGGGTCAGGAGCCTGTGGTCACAGAGCCGGGGGCTGGCCCACGGGTGCAGGTCCCTTCTCTGCTGTCCCTGGGTCACACCTCGGCCCGTGTCCCCCCTCCCCCGCCCCCCAGTCCTTATTCCCACAGCAGGCCTCGGCTGCCTCCTTCCTGAGCTGAGCGGACGGGTCCCCGATGTCGCAGCCCCAGCCCCCCCTTCCGCACACCCAGGAGCCCGATTACTCACTTGAAAGCCCAGCCCACCCCCGCACTGCATTGAAAAAATCTGCTCTCGCACTGGGCCCCAACGTCCTACGTCCGAGTACATTACAGAGTAACCGACTAGGCGGGAAGTGTCCACCGGCTACTACGGCCCCGAGGGGCAGAATTCCTCGTTGAAACTCTTTCCCCATCACATGCGCTAAATTGAAAATGCTCCTTGCCCAAAGTCGACCCATCTCAGAGAAGGCGGGGACCCTTGAGCCAAAGGTCGCCTCCCTCACCCTGCATCCGACACAGCGTGATTTGCCTGGTGTGACCAGCAGAGGGCGCTGAACTTCACAGAATTCAAACCCAGCTCACTGTCCGGGTCCCCTGACTGGAGTGGTTACAGTGCGGGACCAAGGGCCACTTGCCGGTGCCTGGACGTGCACCCTCGAAAGGCTCGCGCCAGCTGCCTGGCAAGCACAGACCTGAGTCCGCCCAACAACAATGCGGGAAACGGGAGTTAACTCCACGTCAGATTCCAGCCATTTTATTTGATCGGTGCATGGTGCGCTCACAAACCCCAAGTACGGTTGGGGCGCAAATGATGTCAGATCTCCAGAACCGTGATGATCGGCGTGGTTCACTCCCAGCCAGGCGGCCTTGCCCTTCACCCCCAGCTACAGTCAGCCGGCGGCGGCTCCGACCAGAACTGCCTTTTTATTCCACGCGATGCCTTGTCAACGCTCTGCAGAGGACAGCTGCTCGGGCGGCCTGACTCCGGGTGTCCCGTGGGCCCGGCGGCTCCTCTCACCCTTGGTGCGGCCGCCCACACTGGGCTGGCTCGCTGCAGGTGCCCCATCCGTGCCAAGGGACAGTGACGGTCCCCAAGTGCCACAGAGAAAGCCAGCAGCTTGGAGAAGTGCGTGGTCCTTCCTCAGAGCCCCCAATGGCGGGCGAGCCGCTGAGCCTGCGCCCGAGGGGCCTTCACATGTGGCGCGGGAGCTGCCCTTTCTCCATCTCAGACGCCAGGTCACCAGGGGGCTCCAGCATGGAGCATCTCGGGACAATTCAAACTGGGCACCACGCGGCCACCCAGCCGGACTCAGTGAGGAGCCTGGGGGACAAGGATGAACGGGCCCGGTCTTATCTCTGCTTCCGAGGAATTTGTCATCAAGAGGCAGGCAGCCCTGGGACCACAGGACGGGTCACGTAGGACACAGAGGGGGAAGCACATTCTAGGGGTCACTGTGACCAGGGTGGGAGGAAGCCCCCTCTTGGGGGACAGCTGCTTGACATGGATCAGGAGGGCCGTCCTTCCCGGGACAGGCCACGGAGGCAGGAAGGGAAACGCTCAGATGTGGGCGTGGCCTGGGGTTCGGCAGCAGGAAGGGCATGAGGGTGGCAGGGGCACTGGGCCAGATCCCAGAGGGTCTCTGGGTCCCCTGGGGTGGGGGCTTCTGCCCCAAGCAGACCCCTCCCCTCCCAGCCTGGGGCTCCCTCTCTGGGAACAAAGGGACCAGAAGCTGGCGGTGGAGGAGCCCTGTCCTTCCGGCCCCCAGCTGCAGCGGGTCACTCAGCCGCGCTGGGTGCCAGGGACCTGGAGCGGAACATGCTGCCCCTTCCGTGGGCTCTGTGGCCTGCCCACGTGCAGGGGCAGAGGCAGGGCCGAGCACACTGCCCACCCCGTTCCCACAGCCTCTCCCGGGAAACGCCGGTCACCGCGACCTTCAGAGGCGGCCGCAGAAAGAGGCGGGCGTCCACTAGCAGCCTGGGCAGGGGGTGGGGGAGGGGGGTTAATTCCTGCGTGGCCACCGGTGTGTGCACCAGGGAGGCCGCCTGCCGCCACAGAAACACCCACTTGCTCACCTGCAGGCGGCAACTACTCCTCACCTCCCCCCGCGTCTGAAAATGTGGTAGGAAAAGTCCACCTCTCCTTTCTGGAAGGTTCTGTGAATAATGTACGTGACCGGGCGGCTAGTGGGTGTCAGTGTCCCCAGGAATTCAAGGGCTCAGTTGTCAGTGTCCCAGCTCACGGCCTCTCCTCTCCGGGGCACGGGGGGTGGGGGTGTGGTGCCAGGGCCCAGCCACCTCGGGGAACTGTCTGAGGCCACACTGCCCCGTGTCTCTGCATGGGAGGGGGAGGCGCTGGGGGCACAGTCCCCGTGGCCTCCGTGTTTCTGGCGGAAGAGCAGGCCCCCGACGGCCTCGCACACTTGTCCCCTGCTTCGTCTAGGAGTGGGTCCCCAGAGGCGGTGCCTCCAGTCCCGCCTAGGGCCTCTCTCACCTGGGCCTTTTCGGTGGGGGGCAGGCAGGAGGGGAAAGACCAAGCCTCACCCCCTTTCAGGGGGTCTCGAAAAGGTTACAGGACCCTTCAGGCCCGTCTGCGGCCCTGCAGTAATGGGAGTGCGAACACAGGACTGCCACCAGCGAGCCTCCAGCAAGGCCCGGACCGCCCCCATCTCGGCCACAGCCCCCGCTCACCCCCGAGTTTCCAGGGTGGGGGCGGAGTGCTGGCCAGAGGCGGAGCCAAGCCCTGTTGTCAACTGACCAGTCCCCCAGGTCAGGGACACTCCAGGATGTCTGTGGGGTGTGAGTCTCTGAGAGTGAATTCTGGGGCTCGGGGTGCCCCTCCACCCCGCAGGCTGCCACGAGAGGACAGTGCTCGGAAGACAGCGAGCGAGCTCGGGGAGACGCTCGCCCCGAGACAGCCTGGGAAGAACGGCACTGGCGCTCCGCTCCTCTGCCACCAGGCCCCGCCCCTCTACCACCAGGCCCCGCCCCCTCTGCCACCAGGCTCCGCCCCCTCTGCCACCAGGTTCCCCCCACCGCCCTCCCAGCCTCCGAGCCCCGGAAGCTGGGGTGCCGGGCCTCTACTGCCCAGGAGTCCGGCCCCAATGCCACCGCGCTCTTCCCCATAGAACCAGGGCACCACTACTCCCGTGGCGAGATTATTATCTTCTTACCATTGGGGAACAACAACACTCAAAGCACAAAGGTATGTTTCCTGGCAAAGGAGAAACCAGTCCAGATCCCCCGGCCACCCCCGCCCCCACCCCCCAGCTCCAGGGGAGGGTCAGCTCACGGGGTGGGCGACTGACATAAGAGCCGTGAACACCCCTCGCGTGGCGGTGAAAGGTGCAGAGGCGGCGCGTTCCGGCCGTCTCCGCCGCCCTCCCGCCTCTTTGGAAAAGGCTTTGCTCCTTAAAAAGGTGCGAAGAACCGGCTTTTGACCTGAGCTGGTGAAGGTTGGAGCTTAATCGCTTTTGAACAGAGGTGACTGCACACCTCTGGTGTGAAACCAGTGAAACGGCGTCACAAGGAGGCTGGCGGAGCCGTCCCTGGGACAGGAGAGGACAAGGACAATGACTGGACCGTGTCCCCAGCCTGGCTGGCTGTCGCCAGGCAGGAGCCTGTGCTGCCCTTGACGTCCTCCAGGGTCCCCCGTCTGATCGTCCTCGGACAGCCGCCCCGAGAAGACGGGGGTGGGGCAGAGACAGTGAGGGCCGGCCCCCCGCCCCTCAGGAAGGCCGGGGCCAACCCCTGGGCTCTGCAGAGGTCAGGCCTCCGGGCTGCCCACGAGCACGCGCACCGTCCACACGAGGGGTGCCGTCGGGCTCCCCGGGGAGCACAGAATGCTCGGGGCTCGGGAGGCTGAACTGGGAGCGCCCCGGACGGTTGTGCCGGTGGAAGTACCAGGGGCAGGGGGCCGGATGCCTCCCTCTCTCTGCACACCTGCCCCCACTCACCATACACACTGGCCAGGTGTGTCCGGGGATGTTGGGGGTACCTGGGGAATACACAGAATTCCCAGGGGAGGGGGAGCCCCCGGGAACCCCCAGGTTCCCCGCAGCAGGTCCCGGGGGAAAGCCCAGCCGGACATCCAGGGCTCTGCAGATGGCGCTGCCCTGGGACCTGCAAGGGGGACAGGTCTTCTGGGTAGAAGGTGCGGTCACTTGCAGGTCAGCAAGGGGCCCTGTGGCCCCCCGAGCAGCCACGCCCCCCAGGACAGATGGGCTGCCTGCCAGGAGCATCCTTGCCTGACCGTGCAGGTGCCGCTCCGGGGGCCGCCTCCTCCCTCCCTTGCTCCCTTGCGGGTCCCTCACTGAACGGCAGTTAACTCGCCCCTCCCGCCCCCGGCCTTCGGACCACTGGGTACCAGCCACGTGGAAACCGGGCCAGAAACTCTGATACAGCGACAATCCAGAAAACGCAGTCCCCCCCTCGGTGGGGAAACC